AAATGGACACCATTATTATAAGCAGTCACTTGCTGTCTGTGGCCAGCAGCCAGTAGAATATCCTTACCTGTGGCCAGCAGCCGCTAGAATATCCTTCCCTGTGGCCAGCAGCCACTAGAATATCCTTCCCTGTGGCCATTTTTAATTCAAACCATGGTCAGTGTAACTTTGTTAACATTAAACAAAAGGTGTGAAAATACAAATAATGCAATGATGATTCAATGGCCTTTGTTTGTATAGACATGCTTGATTGTAACTTTTCCTTTTAATTTATAGACTTGCTCCTTTGAATTTAATCAAGTGAACATATATCAATATATTAAATTAAATGGCTAAAACAATGGAAACTAGAACTGCCACTATCATGGCGTGAATACCCCCGCATACCACTTTGTCAGAATCAACAGTGGCCATTTAGAGCTCAAGGACAACCTCCCTGCCAAATCTGAGGTTACTAAGCCATTGCATTGCTAAGTTATGTATTCTACATGCTTCAAATGTGAAAATGTCAAAATCAATACATTGCGGACAGGACATTCTTTAGCAATTGAGAAGAAAAGTTGTTTTTTTGTCAAGGTCCTGTGACCTTGACCTTTGACCCAGTGACCTCAAAATCAATAGGGGTCACCTTATAGTCATGATCAACATCCATGCCAAATATGAAGACTGTGGGTCAAAGGAATCTTAAGTTAATGGGTGGACAAACTTTTTGAAGTCACAGTCCCTATGACCTTGACCTTTGATCCAGTGACCTCAAAATCAAAAGGGGTCATCTACTAATCATGATCAACGTCCATGCCAAATATGAAGACTGTGGGTCAAAGGAATCTAAAGTTATTGGGCAGACAAACTTTTTGAAGTCAAAGTCCCTGTGACCTTGACCTTTGACCTGGTGACCTCAAAATCAATAGGGGTCATCTACTAATCATGACTAACCTCCATGCCAAATATGAAGACTGTGGGTCAAAGGAATCTTAAGTTATTGGGCGGACAAGCTTTTTGAAGTCAAGGCCCCTGTGACCTTGACCTTTGACCTGGTGACCTCAAAGTCAATAGGGGTCATCTACTAATCATGACTAACCTCAATGCCAAATATGAAGACTATGGGTCAAAGGAATCATAAGTTATTGGGCGGACAAGCTTTTTGAAGTCAAGGCCCCTGTGACCTTGACCTTTGACCTGGTGACCTCAAAATCAATAGGGGTCATCTACTAATCATGACTAACCTCAATGCCAAATATGAAGACTGTGGGTCAAAGGAATCTTAAGTTATTGGGCAGACAAGCTTTTTGAAGTCAAGGCCCCTGTGACCTTGACCTTTCACCTGGTGACCTCAAAATCAATAGGGGTCATCTACTAATCATGTCTAACCTCCATGCCAAATATGAAGACTAAGGGTCAAAGGAATCTTAAGTTATTGGGCGGACAAGAAAAAACCGACGGACAGCCGGACGGCCGGACGGAAGGACGGACAAGCTGATTCCAGTATACCCCCCTTACAACTTTGTTGTGCGGGGTTATAATTATCTGAATACAATTACAATGTTATAGACTGTCATCATGGCTTATAAATGCATCATATATACAAGGGATCTACATTTTTATTAGATATAGTTGTCCAGGATATATAACCACACTCAGGCAAAATAAAGTTGCATCAAACTTGATCAAAGATGACCTTGTTCCAGCATTAAATTTTTAGTATGCATGTTGCACATATAGAAACAACAAAAAATTACAAGTATGATTTGTACAATTAATTATATTATTTGGTTTACAAACTGTTCAACTGAAATGGGCCTCTTGTTCACTTTAAAAAAAAACATTTTCTAACCTTTCACAGTCATTCCTATGTTTTCCTTTCTTATTTTCAGTTTTATTTGGTACATGTGTACACATGGCTTTAATTTTAAGGAATGAAAGCTACCGTTTAATAGCTAAAAATTGTTTATGAAATTGCACATCAGATAAACGTGAAATCAGTTGTGAAGAGAGATGATGACATGTCCAAATACTGATGAAATATTGTATTTACACAAACTACTTTTTAACACATTATTTAGGTATGGGTTTGCATGAAGTATATGATTTTTTTTTGTTTTGCATTTTAACAGGATCAATTGCTGTGAAACTTTTCACTGTGATTTTGTTCAACAAATAATAGATTCAAGATAGCTGTGCAGAGAGCAATAAAAGGCAGATTTTTAAAGTATAATTATGACGTTGTAGTAGCTTTTTAAAAGTTTATTTTATGGTTGCATTGCAAAATAAGTTTTGTGATTTAAATAAAATATGTCAACATATTAATCTGACAGCTTAAAAAAACAAGCATCGTATAGTTTTGTTAACGTTTTTAACAGTATTCTTGTAAATCTCATTAAAAATTGTTCACAAGTTATTATTTTAAAAGGAAAACCCTGTGGTAACACTAAAGTTTGTATACAAATTTTAACATGCAAATGAAGACTAGTATAATTAGCTTGTGTATGCGCTACGTCACAAAGGTAAAATCCATTGCAACCATGTAGATCACAGCAAAATGAGCAAATAGGAGATATTCTTGTGCAAACAAACTTATATCATTTTAGTTTCACAGTACATTAGCCCTGTCGTTAACAAAAAAGTAATCATCTCATAAAAAAGATTGCGGAAATATACCATTAAATTTGGACTGCTACTTAAAAATGTTTGTTGATTTTCTATTGATGAACGGATGACCCAAAGGCGGACTTTCTCATGTAAATGGAAATTGTACTTCCGATTTTGCCACAATGAGGTTGTAGATTTTATGGTTTATAAAACTCATTTTGGTTGTATGGACACAAAATAAGAACGGGAGTCGATATGAAACATTTAATTAACAAAATGTAGCTATTTCTTTTTTATGAAATTTATTTAATGTAGCTTTAATAATTTTTAAAGAAATTTAAGTTTGATATTTAAATTCTGTAAATTATTTCAAAATAATTTGTATACTTTCATTTCAATTATATTTTAATTAATATCAAAATATTCTACTTATTAGTCTATTTAACATATTTCCCAATTATTCAACTCAAACATTCATATATATAGATGCAGTTGTGACAAGAAATAAACTTTTATTGGCATACAAAACACCACAAAACACCTCTTGTTTTATTATAAACAAATTATATCCTTCATTATTCTTCACTATTCACATCAAATGAATTATTTTCATAATTTATTTTTCAATGAAAGGACTAAATACAAATGTGATATTATAAGTTCAAAAAGAAACGTTTATAAATAAAGAAAAAAAGATTTATATAATATTTACATAAAATTATATCCTCTTCAGGATCATGTCCAGAAATTTGAACAGAGTTATTCCACATTACCTGCAAATCTTAAAGCCAGTAATTTTTGCCGTAAACTATTTCAGTTCATAAATAAGACTAAAAATAACTCAATCAACCTGAAATATTGCAATGAAATTGAGCTTATGATATTATAGTAATTATGAATTATAAGTATCAGTTTTTTTATCATCGTTGCAGACAGATGTGCTGTATTTAAAAAAAGAAATAAGATATTTGTATTATCACTTAAAAATATTTTTTTTCAAAAACCAGATAATAAATGGTAAAGCTACATTTTTTTTTGTAAAGTAGGTAAGGATTGTTTCAAAGAATTATGGTGGTTTCGTCGAACTACCGGTTCGGCTAACTTAATTTATGAAGAGGTGCGAAAGTGGTTTCGTTTAACTGATGTTATATATAGTAATTAAAGGCAAAGTAGACGTGGTTCATATATACTGTAAAGTGTTTTCATCATCAATATTTTGTTATAATTAAATTATGACGCAAATATCATTAATGAATATAATATATTGTAGAAGTATGTTTATATAAAAATTATTATACTTATTTTGAAAAGTTTTTTTCGTTATTTGATAAATTATTTTTGAGTCAAGAATAAATTACAAAAAAAACAATATTATTTTGTTTGCAAAATTAATTGTTTAGTTAGGGCTTGGTTTACGAAATAAATCAATTGTTTATAATTGATGACAGAGAAAGTTTGTTTGTCTTATCAGCCGATCAGTTAACACGATACGCCCGAATCCATGAGATGACTACTTCCCAACTACTGAGACTGTGCAGCCACATTATTGGAATAGGATGCAACAACATCAACAACGGGATTTATGAGGACGATTTTTAAGTGTTATATATAAAAAGTGATGAATAAAGAATAAAAAAATATTGTTGAATACTACGTAAAAGCCGGTGTATACTCAGGTTGTACTTTTAAACGTATATATATTTCTATGATGTTGTTTGTTCACTGAGATCTTGTGTTATTATTTTATGTAAATATCATAATTATACTAAAGAAAAGAACAAATAATATGTTTAAATTTTCAATATTGTGTCTTTACTTGCATGAAAATGTGTGATAAACCACACATTAACTTGATTAAGACCCGCGAAAATTGATGTGCCCATTATACAATAGCTATTGTTCACTATATAAATTAAGTTAGCCGAAACCACTACCTTTTTTACTATAGAAGATCAGTTAGACGAACCGATAGTTCGACGTAACCACTCCCACCCGTTTCAAAAGGGCATTCTGCACTTTAATAGCCGTTAGTGCTGACAAATTTATTATGATTGATGTACCGTTAAGGGGTGGACAACAAGATATTAAAGTGTTTATATGTGGTTATCTGGGAGTTTCTACTCCATGTATTGTAATTAAAGCCGTGCATTGTATTCCCAAATTATTTATCCTGTCTTATAGAGATTAATACATTTAAACTAGACTGTCTCCTTAAGTTTGCTGGCAGTTATGACAGAAGTATTTATTATTTAGAAATGTTATGTGTTATTGTATTTTTTTCTTTTGTAGAAAACCAAAATTACCATTGTATATTTGCTTAAAATTTGTAAAATATCACAAATTATAAATGTGTTCGACGAATTTTAAGTACGAAACTATCTCATTAACAGCTGTCAAAACAGAAAACTCACCGTTGCTCCGTATTTAAGAGATATACCCTGCAATGTATCAACTCTGGATACTATATGTTTTACATATTTAGTGAATTTTGGTTGGGGTTTTGTTGTAGATCCATATTTAGTTTGATTTCTTGCAATATTTCCGAATAACTTTCGTTCAGTGCCGTCTTCCGACATTTTGGACAGAATATGTGTCACGTGACAACAAATTTCCTCCAAGGCTAACCTCAGGACCTCAGTAGCCTAAAAGCGGTACCACTAAAATACGCAACGGAACAGAGTGCAAAATTTAAAATGTGGCAATAAAATACGACTAGCAATGTTTTTTTTTTTTAATTTAAATTAGTATGTGTTCAATAATAATGCAACAAAGTCAAAATGAAACACAAGCAAAAGAGATTAGTATGTTTAGTTTAATAATATTTTATTGCGTTTATAGAGGTACATCAATTCATTTACATAAACAAAATTACACATTATACAAAAGGTTCCAAGGGCAAAAAGTTTTAACAACATTATTGTGGGCCCTTCCCTATTAATATGGACGTCCACACCCCAAATATCACAGTAATGCCTATAATACTCGCGAGAGGGATTTACAGTTCTCAGAGAAAAATAGATAAAGAACAATTATATATTCCCACCAGTGTAATATCAGGCTCCAAGGTACGACACGCTGTCTAACCTGTGACTGAAATTATATAACCTCTGTGACGTTCTAAAAAGATGCAAATTCTGTATCAAAATGAAAACTAAAACAGAAGTAATGATACAATAATAATGAAATAATAATGAAAGAATTACATAATCACATAATATATATGTCCTTATAAAATTATGTCGACCACTTAATTTAGTAAAAAAAAATGGTGACCAATTAAATATTAATTCAAATTGATCTAAGCCGTAAAACTCTACTTATTCTATATGGTCAGCAAATTTAACGCTCTTTAAATTCAAGCGAGAAAATGCTGATCAGTTTAACATATAGTAGAATCTGCTGACCAGTTAGATATATAAGTAAAATGCTGACCAGTCAGATATAAAGAGAAAAATATTTTTTGCCGGAATATTTAAATTGATTTTAGCCTTAAGATTTAAGCCGTAAAACTCTTCTTATTCTATATGGTCAGCAAATTTTTACATTCAGGTGAGAAAATGCTGACGAGTTAGACATATAGGGAAACTGCTGTCCTGTTAGACATATAAGGAAATTGCTGACCAGTAAGATATATAGAGAAAAACGATATTTTGACATGAAATTGTTATTCATTTTATAATGTTTGCAAAGTTAATATATATTGTATAAAATCATATGTCGACAATTTAATTAAGTAAAAAGAGCTGACCAAGTATATATTAATTCAAATTGATTTAAGCCGTAAAATCCTTCTACTTTTATATGGTCAGCAAATTTAATGCTCTTTACATTCAGGCGAAAAAATGCTGACCAGTAAAACATATATTAGAATTTTCTGACCAGTTAGATATATTGGGTAAATGCTGACCTGTTAGGCCTATATATAGAGAAAATTGTATGAATAATTGTTTAAACATTTTTGTCAACATAACATCATTTTCACCTGAAATCTGATTGCAAAATTTTTTAATTAAGTTTTACACAATTATTAAAATGCCCGTGCATGTTACATATACATGTGGTTCTTTAAGCATTCCCCTATTAGATTAGTCCAACTAATTAGACTTGTCAAAGAGACACCGAGATAATTTTGGACGGGCGCTGTCTTTTTCCAAGTCCAACCACGAACTGCATTTTTATGCACGGACGCTTCCCAATTAGAAGTTGTTGGGAGCGAATACTAGAAAAGTTTCAAAGAAACGGTCTACATTACCTGAAAGAGAATCGTTTTTTATGCAAGGTTCCAAATTATCATACTTCAAAGTCGAACAGAAGTCTAAATATTCCACTTTAATTTTTTTAATCGTTGAAAATTATTGAAAGCGGCCATATTGGAAAACGGTGTCATGGTAAAATTGTAAACACTGGTAAAATCCATGGTGTAACACAGGTATCGGCGGCAATCGATTGTATTCGCCAAGCTTTATTATACAATTTGTTTGTTTTTTATATGAATTATTGCAGGAATAACTCTTTTATTCACACACAAATATTTCAGCATTAAAAAGAGAATGTGTAAAGGAAATTATGATAACCTTACTTAAGAAATTAAATAGTTTATGATGTCCGATGTCAGATCATACTGCATTTAAGTCCGTTTAAATTGTCAAATTAGATATTATTAAGTTGGAATTTTTAACATCTGTGATCATTAGGTGAAATTTCTGAACTACCGTTTTATTTTATAACCCTGCCATGATTTCCCACATACGAAAATACAATGTAATTGTAGGTACATCTTAATTAATGAATTATAATTATACTATACATGATGAAGCAAAGAAGAATTTCAATTTATATTACACTCCATATCATTTTCTAGTTTATTTTCTTTAAAAGAAATTGAGGACGGTTGTGTATGGGAAGAAGTTCAAAACAACCCAAAATAACTTTAAAACTCTGAAAAAAAATCTTAAAATTTCAAACTATAAAATGGAATTTCAGACAGTCCTCAGTAAAATATAATTGTCGCACAGATTTGACGGGGTTTATGATAAAAACACAGCAAGCAGAATTTAGTGACCGTTATTTACATGTTGAATAGCATAACAATGTAAGACAGATGGGATAAATGTTGGAACGACTGTCGCAAAAGGCACCAAAACCTCTGATACCCATTAAAAATTCCATGTTATCTAGTTCCCGTTGAACGGCACCTCGAATGTGTCTCATTGAAAGTTCCATGATTACCGCCGTATTATGTACACATCTGTGCATGGATGTTGATTAAAAATTTCAACATTATTATGTTTAAGTGATCAATTCTGTTTAAACCGGCGAAAGGGAGCACTTGAACCTACCAGAGCCGTCTTTGGCACTCCTGTGTATTTATGTTTCGATTTTGCAGTTTCAGGCGTTTTTGGTGGGTTTTTTTGGAGGGTGGATACATGAATGTGGATAAGTTTTTTCTGTTTCTTTACATTTCTTTGCTTGTTTGCCGAACCTTGTATTGATAATCATTATCTGTTTGTTACGGTTCGGTATACATGTATACAATATGATAAACAAGATGAACAAGGAAAGGCGGCGTTCAATGAACGCAAACCCCACATGACCCAGGAACATGAACCATTGGCAAGGAGCCCAGGAGGATCCTAAATTAAAACGGGAAAGGGCGCAAGGGAGAGCACGGTCAGGCTTATCACTAAAATGTAACTGAGAAGGAAATCAAAGAAAATAAATAAATGAATGATTAATAGGACCACAAAGTTAACGAGCACAGGGGAAGGGGATAGGAAATTCGGGGAGGGGGCGAAATAAAGAAATAAAACTAGGGGCAAAGGGTAGATACTTACCAAAGACGAAAAAACAACAAGGGACACAAACAAAAGTGTCACCAAAACAGTATGAAACAGGACCACTAAGTTAACGGGCACAGGAGAAGGGGATAGGAAATTCGGGGGAGGGGGCGAAATAAAGAAATAAAACTAGGGGCAAAGGGAAGAAACTTACCATAGACGAGAAAACAACAAGGGACACAAACAAAAGTGTCACCAAAACAGTATGAAACAACAAGACATACACCTTATACATTTATAAGTCTCTTAATCTGTTCATTTGAAAATTCTGATCTTCTCAATGACTTTTTTTAATATCCTCTACTTAAAATTTATTTCAATTAAAATATGTGACCCTTCCTTTATAGTTACACAGCATATGGCTGGATCACAATAAAGTTCCTTTTTAGTAAATTAATAAAGTATGTCAAGAAGACATTTAACTTTATCAATAGGTTTAATATGGTATTATATATCGGCAATCGGTGAAAAAGAGCTCTTGAAATATTATTTGTACAAATACTGAATAATTTGAAGTGTATTTCAAATAGTTTCCTTCAATATTTCTTTTACGTTCCTAATTGTCATATAAATATGCATGTATAAATGAAGTCAGTATTTTATCCGAGAGTGACATTTGGCAGTCATTAGCAGTAAACAAGAAGGCAAACCACCAATTGATAAATGTTGAGTATATGTATTAAAATATTTAAAAAATATTAAACAACAGTACTTGTACGGAGCCTATTTGCGACCATTGCATTTTAGGTTAAATACAATGATACTTTTCAATAGTATTTAATAATGCACACATTTATTAAAAAATAATGAATAGATTTATTTCCCCCGATATTTCGTTTAAGTTAATCTTCATGCGTAACCCACACTTACCTGCTAGACACACTGGTAGCTACTACCAGCTTTCACGGAATCGATTTTTTACGATGACGTCATAACATGTCCGCCGAAGATAGAGTAGACAGTACAAATTTGAAATAAATCGCATGTATGCGTTAAGACAGGTACAATCTAATATTTTTTCTAGGAGAAGTTAGTACTAAAATTTATATTCTATTGATCTTTAGAGGTGATTGAAGTTACTTTCAGGTTTAAGCAGTAAAAATCAGTCCAAACTATCGATAGTGTTGCCGGTAGATTTTCCGTGCGTAAAAATGACAGTTAAAATTAGGCGTAACGGTTTGACAGTAAGAAAAAAAAAGTCTGTAAAATGGGTCAAACCGTTCACGCCAAATTAATTAGGCTACTATTAGATCTATTGTAACTTTTTCAGTACGCATAAAATAATAATAATAATAATAATAATGATGATGATGATGATGATGATGATGATGACGATGATGATGATGATGATGATGATGATGATAATCTTTCTTTATTTAACTGGTCAGCAGTTTCCAATATATTCTATAGCGTCAGCGAACGCGTCAGCATTTTAGTGCGACCCGTTTCAGAGATTCAACTTCCGGTTTGATCTGCAACATTTAATTTTTATCAAACTTATTACGCAGAAGGAAAATTAGCAACTGACTATGAGTTCTTATCAATTATACCGAAATACAACGTTGGGACATACCTTGCAGGAAAGTCTCGATGAACTTATTCAGGTAGGGCCTGTATTCGTGATGATAAACATGTTATATGCATGATTCGTACTCAATTTCATTCGTTCTTTTTGTGAATAATACAGTTTATCTTAGAATTTGTTGATAATCTTAATATTAAGATAGATAAAGTTTTAAACACATTTGATTTCAAAAATTAGTAATGTCAGACTCATTTATAGTCCCCAACATGTCTAAGATTTCATATTTTTGGAAGGTATACTGTGCTGCTATTAGTTCACAGTTATACACTGATGAACACTTTCCAAACTAGCAGATGACCGGCTATTCTAATCAGTTGTTTTTCAAGTAAAGATAAAGGGTTGCATATCTCACTGTATAAATCAAATGTAAAAATTGTCTGACATATGGTAGGATTAACAGTTAATTTAATTACTTTGGTGTCAAAAGATGTGTGCGAAATACATATGGGTGGCGCGATAGCTCAGTTGGTTAGACCACTGATTATTATTCCTGTGGTGCTGGGTTCCATCCTGGGTTATAACCTTGGGATTTTTCAGAGACACTTAGTGTTTCCCACCTACTTAGAGGTGTACTGGTAAGAAATCAAGGTAATCCTTGCATGCATATACACTGGGCATGAAAAAGAGCCAAGGGGTCTATTAAATAAGAGCTAGAGACTGGTTCCCTGCTTCCCTTGTATCTCATAGCTGTCTCTTAAAAATGTATACAATGTATACATTGTAATTTGTACCTGCTTAGAGTGATCATAAACAATTTTAAAGCAGTATGATGTAGAACTAAAACATTTAGATAACACACATTACATCAGAACAAACTAGTGGTTTAAAAACATTTTAATTTGTAATTGTATTGTTTTAGCATTTTCCTCAAAGACAAGGGAAACAACTCGTATTTTTTCACTTGATATACTTCGGTTATTTACATTGTTCATAACGAAAGAATTAATGGGTGTGCAACATCCTAGTACAAAAATTATGTGTACATGTATGTCCGTTCTCCGTCTCCAAATTTTCCCACAGGTGGTAATATTGTTGGATTTTTGCTTGGAATCAATGAAATATATAGTTTTAATCCCCTTCCACATAGCTGAAAGGGGATTACAGGAATGGCCTTCGTCTGTCCGTCCGTAACACTTTCATGTCCGCTCCATAACTTTTAAACCACTGAAAAACTTTTAAAATAACTTCGCACAAGTGATCACCATAATGAAACGATTTGCAGAGTGCAAGAATTGGGTTGCTACCCCCAAGGTCAAGGTCACACTTAAAGGTCAAACATTAAAAAGTCTTCATTTCCTAATTAAAAGTCAACATTTGGTGCCCGCTCCATAACTTTTTAACCGCTGAATTTTTTCTTATTAAAATAACTTGGCACAAGTGATCGCTATAATGAGACGATGTGCAGAGCGCAAGAATTGGATTGCTGCCCCCAAGGTCAAGGTCACACTTAAAAGTCAAACGTTTAAAATTCTTAATTTCATAATAAAAAGTCTACATTTTGTGTCCGCTCCGTCATAACTTTAACCGCTGAAAAGTTTTTGTAATAACTTGGCACAAGTAATCACCATAATGAGACGATGTGCAGTGCGCAAGAATTGGGTTGCTACCCCGAAGGTCAAGGTCACACTTAATGGTCAAACGTTAAAAAGTCTTCATTTCATATTAAGAAGTCTACATTTGGATTCCACTCCATAACTTTTTAACCGCTGAAATTTTTAAAAAATAACTTGGCACAAGTGATCACTTTAATGAGACGATGTGCAGTGTGCAAGAATTGGGTTGCTATCCAAAAGGTCAAGGTCACACTTCAGGGCCTTTTTACCTACTATAACAGGGGCCGGTATAGGGCTGCTTCCCCATAGAAAATTTCTTTAAAATCATGCAGTTTTCCCCAGAAATTGAATTTACATCAAGTTTTTTCTTCCCCTTTTGCAAATATACCATGTAATTTTTCCCCAAAATTAAGGGCTGGGCTGCTTCCCCAACCTGTGAAAAAAAGCCCTGCACTTTCAGGTCAATTGTTAAAGTCTACATTTCATGTCCACTACATAACTTGTTAACCATTTAAATTTTTAAAAAATAACTTGACAGAATTGATAACCATTATAAAGACATGTGCAGAGTGCAGTAATTGAGTTGCTTCCCCCAAGGTCACACTTAAAGGTCAAATGTATAAAAGTCTACATTTCATGTCCCTTCAATAACTTTTAAATACCCCCAGGGTCAAGGTTATAATGTTCTCTTTATGGAAGATTTTGAATAACTTGGCATTGTGAGACTATGTGCTTATGATATGCATGGCAGAACATCAAGGTCATGGTTGGTAAAAGGTCAAGAAGTACACATTCATGTTCATTGCGGAAGGGGATTTAGCTGTCCTTCAGACTGCCTTGTTCTATCAAAACTGACAATAAATAGATCATGAGTGTCCAATCACCCGTCAATACAACTGCTTAACAATAGTAATGAATGGATTCTTTCTCCAATTTAAAGATTAATTTATATTTCCTTTAACAAATTTGCATTCAGATGTATATTGCCCCACCTATGCTGTGATCTTGTTTAAATTTGTTCAATTGAATTGCAGAAAATTTCGTGTATATCATAAAAATTCACAGTATAAGAAAATTGTATGTTTTTATTTTAATATACTTTTTTTTCGATGTTGGTGGTCTTTAAATTTTTCACCAAAACTTGCCACACATTTTCCTAAGTTTATTTGATGGAGAATTTTTGCAAGTTGGTACAAATATGTATCATTTAATGTTTGGTGCAATTTTGTTTGAACAGTTTAGGTGAAAAGTTGTAGTTTTTTCTTTTGAGGCCCACATGGAAGATTGGGAAACCAAATGTGTAGCCTCAGTAAATAAAGACTTTACTTACTTACTTACTTTCTTAACTAGCTATCATCAGGCAATACGTGATAACTGATTGCTCTTGTCATTTAAACTGTTATGTAACAGATGATTATTTTCTTTCATTTCAGATGGGACAGATTTCTCCTCAGCTGGCACTGAAGGTTCTTCTACAATTTGATAAGGCTATAAATGTGGCATTAGCTAATAGAGTGAAAAACAGAGTAACATTCAAGGTCAGTATGATTCTTCTAGGTCATAACTGTTGCTGCCTTAGACTTTAGCTCTTTAAATAAAACTTTAATTCATACTAGTTTATGAACTAAAACCTATGGTCCCTGACTTGAGCTCTATAACTCATGTGGACAATATTAAGGTAGGGGAAATAACAACACTTTCTAGAAGTAGTAAACATACATGTCAACAAAAGACAAATGCTTAATAAATTCACTTTCCATTGCAGTGCATTTAGGAACTGACATGAATTATTTGTTATAGTTATTATAGAACTAGACTACTAGCTGACAGAAAATGTTTGGTTCTACCAGTACCAGGTGTGAGATCTGCTTACACCTGGAACAGTTCACACAAAAATACTAATCTACCACCAAATAATATGCTAGGTGCTGTATGTCATTGACAGTTTCCTGAAACCAATTCATACCATTCCCATTGGGACAAAATCGCGAGCAAATGAGACAGGCATGTGTACAGAGCATTCAGTCAGTAGTGAGACATTAGGGTTATAATAACCCTATGTTTTAATAAAGTCTTTTATATACATTTGTATTATTTTTTATCTCAATTATCACAGCTTTTGTTTCTCTATAGGGCAAGTTGAATACCTACAGATTTTGTGATAATGTATGGACATTTGTGTTAAATAATGCTGAATTTAAAGACATGCAAGAACTAGCCAAAGTTGATAAGGTGAAGATTGTAGCCTGTGACGGAAAAGGTAATGTTTGAATTTAAGAAGAGTAAAGCTTCAGTGCAGTGACAGCACTCCCCATTATATGAGTGATGATGGATCTCATTCACATTATCAGATGTTATCTTTTTACCCCTAACAGTTCAGTTTGCATAGATGCACAGTCAGTGAGTGGGGATTCATATTTTCCCTATTGTATTCTTAGTCTTAGCTGAAACATTTTCGTACATAACTGTAATTATATAAGGGAAGGTGATTTTAAACATTAATTTCATGTGCTTTGTTGTAGAATAAATTCATTAATGTATTGCGTATAGATGTGCTGATATATTATCATAAAGGCTGGTAGGTATGCGAGTGATTAATTACAAAGATTTCGAACAATTAACTATGCTTAATTGTTCAAGAAGACAAAAACATATCTTTTTACATTCTAACATGCTAATGGAAAAAGAATAATTAAAAATGGTACCTGTTTTATCCCTCTAATGATGATACTGGAAAATCACTGAATTATTAAGTAATGCAAGAAAAATTAATATCTATTTCTAACATGCTAATAAAAAAGAGAATTGATAAAAATATGTTGAACTACATGAAGCGTAAAGAAGTATTTTTTTCTGATATCATTTGGTTTGTTGACGTAGGATCTAAAGTCATATTAGATGTAAGTATTCCTGTTTGATGCTGCGCATATATCGAGTAATAATGCACTTGTTTGTCCTATCTGTTTGATAGGTGATACTGTGAAGCATTTTAGAGTTAAATAGAAATAATAAAATACTTGTATATTTTTGTATGTTAATATATATTTATTGTATATTCCACACAATATTTCTTTGTATATTCATATATTATTAGTTATACAATTCTCTGATGCTATATATGGGAGAATATTGCCTGAATGAGATAAATATGACCCAAGGTGCTTGTATTGTATGATTCTATGACCCGAGGTGCTTGTATTGTATGATTCTATGGACCCGAGGTGCTTGTATTGTATGATTATATGACCCGAGGTGCTGTATTGTATGATTTATATGACCCGAGGTGCTTGTATTGTATGATTATATGACCCGAGGTGCTTGTATTTGTATGATTATATGACCCGAAGGTGCTTGTATTGTATGATTCTATGACCCGAGGTGCTTGTATTAATATGATTCTATGACCCGAGGTGCTTGTATTGTATGATTATATGACCCGAGGTGCTTGTATTATATGATTATATGACCCGAGGTGCTTGTATTGTATGATTATATGACCCAAGGTGCTTGTATTATATGATTATATGACCCGAGGTGCTTGTATTGTATGATTATATGACCCGAGGTGCTTGTATTGTATGATTATATGACCCGAGGTGCTTGTATTGTATGATTATATGACCCGAGGTGCTTGTATTGTATGATTATATGACCCGAGGTGCTTGTATTGTATGATTATATGACCGGAGGTGCTTGTATTGTATGATTATATGACCCAAGGTGCTTGTATTATATGATTATATGACCCGAGGTGCTTGTATTATATGATTATATGACCCGAGGTGCTTGTATTGTATGATTATATGACCCGAGGTGCTTGTATTGTATAATTTTATGCACACATATAGGTAACTGTCTAGGATGTAAAAGTACAAAGTTATTTGTGCATGCTTTAGTTACTGCATTGTTTACAAAGTGTTTAAGCCAACCAAAATTCGAGAGATTTATTTGCATTATAATAAAAATAGTGTTTATTCTGCACATTATTTCTTTGTATGTTTATTTTTATTTATTTTATATTCCAGGGGCAGAAAAATGAGGATATTGGATATTGGTAGTTAGAAAAGAAATGGGCTAAATATATTTGTATGGTATCACATACCAAAGTACACAAACATCTATGGGAAGACAGATGTACTTAATTCCGTCTTTCCGACATTGGGGTTTTTGTTTTCCTGTCAAATATTTTGTGTAAATCATGTTTTAAGAACTAGACAGTTAATACTACACATTTTTACTTCTGACTATGAATGGAATCTCAAAATGGTTTGAAGTTTACCATTCTTTTTGATTTTGATGGAATTTTTACCCAAAATAACAATGTTTTTTTATTATTTTCATTATCATTGTAATAAGAAGTATCTTTTGTGTTTATTACTGAGTGAACAAAAGTTTTAAGAAAAGTAAACAAGTTTAGCTAAAATTCAGGCAACTTTACTGTTTAATTTAAGAGAATTGTGTACATGGAAAACGTTTTTGTACTGACTCAAAGAATTTATAAAGTTTTGATTCATTTCCAACTTACATCATGCAATTATTTATCTCATTTTATATCATGTTGGTGAGTCATTGAATTTGCTATTTTTAGAAGAACTTTTCTTTAATGATATGAGATTTTGGGAAGCCTCTGTTACAATATTTTAATTTGTTCAGCACTTATAGAAACATGACCCATATCCTTGAAATTAGGAAATTTACAATGTGTTTTGCTCAAAATGAGAGGTAAGACAAAAAGAGTTAAAATTACAGTTTTGCCTCTTAATCTAATCAACATAAACTGATGCAGGTTGAAGGACTTCTCTTCCTATACATTGAGGGTTATTTTAGGGTGGCTTCCCCCAGGAAAATTCTTTAAAATCATGCTATTTTCCCTAAAGTTCAATTTACATTAAAAAAATTATCCCCCTTTTGTGAAAATTTTGTGTTAAGTAATTCTCTGGTAGGTTTGCTTAAACTATATATTGCTTTTGTACTTAATTACTGACTGATTTTTAGATAAATATAATTTTAATAATTTGGAAGTTTCAGTTTGGAACTTTCGTATAAGAATTGGGAAAGAAGATGGGAATATAGCCAAAGAATAGCTGTATAGATAGGATTTAAAAACAACAACAAACAATTATGTGTATAAATTTTTAGCCAGTTTTGCACTGTGATTGAACAAGATAAATAATGTATTCTCAATGTACAATGGTGATTTACCAATATTTCACACACAATGAATGGTAAAATATGTCGTATTGTAATCAGAAAGTATCAGTTAACATATTGTGATTCACAATATTCCTCTTTAAAAAAATTGCTTTTTCCTTATTGTTCATTATTAGCTTGACTATTCAAAGAATGGTTGGCTATCCTAATAAGCCTTGGGTTGAGTATTACTTCAGAAATAATATATCAACAACAGTGATTTTATTGTGATTCTATTGCAAAATAAAATCAATGTTTGGAGTTCAGATGTGAGGAATTATATATAGATCAGAACAGTGATTTTATTGCATATTTACACACAATTTCGGTTTTCTATGTTCAATAGGGAAAAATGTGAGCCCTGTTAGAAATATGGATGTTACAAGCAATCTCATATTATTAAAGTAACCATTGAATGTTATTCATTTAAAGCTTGACACATGTATGCTGAGAACCTGGCTATAGTTCACTATCCAGGTTCCACAACTCTAGCTTGGATTTTGACTGAACAACCATTTATACCCCTTTGTGAATGTTAACGTTATTTTCAAAGCCACTGAACGAAGGTATTTACTAAATACATCACACAGAGTTATAATTTTAGGTCACTGATCATTGATCAATATGCATTACTCAAACATGCATTGCTCTTCTGTGGATTTAGAAAAAAGCTGTAATTTGAGTGTAAATTATTGAGCCATGTGTATGCCTAGTTTGCTGTATAAGTAAGACAGCTCCTATCATGGTAACAAGGTAACTGTCATACAAACAAGGTAACTGTTATACAATTGTACTGGACAATATGGAAAACTATTGCATGTTCTTATGTTGTTGAAATGCAATAACACTATATTTAAGTTATGAAATGATGTTTTGTAATTATTATATAAAATTATTGTTATATGGAATTTCATGTGTTTTCTTTGTAATAAATATTTTTTATTGTAGAATAATTTCTGAAAGATTTAGTACTGATAAAAAGTGGTCATGTAATAAAACTTTTAAAGAATTTTAAAATTTATAATTTCTGTATTAATTGATGTAAGTTAGAATATAGATTCAACTCCAGTTTCAATTTAAAAATGTAATTATTTTATTTGAAAAATATACAACGTTTCGACTCAGAGTCTTCATCAGGTATACAGTTTCAATTTAAAAATGTAATTATTTTATTTGAAAAATATATTACGTTTCAACTCAAAACTCTTCATCAGGTATTAATTGATAAAATCTACACAGAGCCAGGTCACACTGCAGGGATGCTAGGGCCGGCCTATATTTATACTGTAAGCCTAGAATGGCAATTCATTAAGATTTTGAGCGTTATTTTTGTCTCATTTGTAGCATTATAATGTATGATATTGTCAAATGTTTTGATACAAAGTATCTTCTAATTTGTAAAATAGTGCTTCTATTATAAATAAAAGGTCTCAAGTACCAGATTGAGTTTGTTTTCCTATTTTTGGTATTTGATTATTTGTGATAAGGATCTTCCACTATGATGACCGCCACCAACTTAACAAATTGCGAACCATATATAGCCTGATACAACTAGGGCCATTATGAACTAGTTACTGAGCTACCATTTTAGCTCCACTTGTCTAAGGAAAAACTGAGCTATTGTCATGACCCACTAGCATTTGTGTTGGTAAACATTTTTAGCTCAAAGTCATAGTGTCGTTGACCTTGCTGTTGCTGAACTTGACCTTTACTCTTAAATGACATTGACCTTCAAGGTCAAATCATTAATGTTTGAATTTTGTTTGATTTTATCTATAATTGGCTAGAACTTTGTTATTTATAAATGGATTGTCTTCATACTTAAACTGAACAGTCCTTTGGGTAAGACCTTCAAGTAGTCCAAATTGTTATTTGTTGTCAAACTAGTATGTTTATTTCAAGTTTTTTTATTCTTTGTACATACACTTTTACTATACTTTGTTCTTATCTTTTTTTGTTACTGAATGAATTAACTTCAAATTTCAAATTGTTGTCTTTTCCATTTGAGCATAGAAATGTCTGTTTAACTTTTATTGACATGGTATAACCTAGTTGCAGTTACTCACCATATGTCCAAGCCTCACATAGGTTAGCTAGACATCAATATGGTTAAAATCAGCTTCTTATTAACGCTATGTGGCACCAATAGGAGGTCACCTCCTCACCTAAATTCAAACAGCCAATTGATGGGGCCGCTGGAAAACCAATACTAAGTGGGTAATTTTCATGATTTCGAGAGCGACCATATGGTGTTGCCCATATAGCCAGCGGGTAAACTGGCAAAACAATCTTGCCAATTAAACATTGAGTCTATTATTTCCAGTTTATTTGTTTCAAACAACTTTTTTCTAAAACAATTAACATATTTTACTTATACTGACAGCGATATTTTGATACTTCGTCTGATCTTATTCGTATAATGTTTGATTGCATGGCTAAAAAAAGCTTTCTCGGGAAATCCGAATCGCAGTGAAGGCGAAACATATACAGTGGCAATCAGAAATAACTTAAGTAGATCTGAACTTTTAGTGAGACATATGCACCTGTTATCCCTATACGTCTTTTCTTCAACTACCGTACCCCTATATCACTGTACTATGGAATAATTGTGACAACAAGTTGATACAATTTACTCCGGGAATATTTACATAAAAGTTTTCTGGTGATGGGAAAGTAGAAGAAGGTATAAACCAGAAATAATTAAGTTATTGCTGGAATTTGAGGTGTACTCTCTGCTATCAGATATATCAATTTGGTCTCCAGTATCATCATTTCTGTCGGTACTTGACTCCTCATTTTGGAAGAGTTGTGACTTTTTGAAAATGTTCTTGAAACAGCCAAATTCCCATCGCTATCTTATGTGATACCGTCTCTTTTCACGTAATTATTCGTAAGGTCTTAATACACTGCTCAAGTTATCATCCCATCTTTCTCTGCCATCTTTAGAACAAGTTGTTTACTTACAATATTAATGTGTTGGTTTTCGATGGTCGCTTTCAAATTCTTGGTCTTTTAGTTTATTTCTTGCAGTATATTGTCTAATAACAAGTCTGTTATTAAAGACGTTAAGTAATAGAAAGAGCATCGAAACACGAGGCTATCTGCCATTTGCACGAGGGGGCATAGCCCCCGAGTATTAATCAGATTGCCGAGTGTTTTGATGTTCTTTCTTTTTTGTATCATAGTCAAACATAAAAACACGTTCCCTGTTGCCACAATATGAAACCCCATAAAAAAGTAACCAATGAACGAGCATCTGAATATGATAATTCTCCCGCTTTTCCTTTCTCTGCAGTCACAATAAGTAAACCCCAGCAAAAATGAGCCAATCAATGGGCAGGTAACTAATACCTGCACTCCAGTTAACGCACTGTGCATGTATATGTATACGATTTAACCCTGACACATTTTCAACAGAAATGTCCCCAAACTATGATACAATTATATAAACGTCTTGACCATTTATTATCTTGTCTGTTATAAAAGACGGCAATGCTAAAAACGTCTTGGTCTAATATTTTTTTATAAATTATTAACGTTTTGGCCGTTAGTAACTTGGCCATTAGAATAGCTGGTCGGTTATAAAAGACGGTACCAAGAGCTAGTATGGTGGCCCTTTCAAATTACAGATTCTCATACATGTAAATACATGTATAAAGTTCTTAACTGAGTGTTGGAGAAATCCCACCTGATTTAAGTGATTTGCATATAGCCATACATACATGAATGTAAACAATTTTGTTATGAACATTTTTAAAGATAATATACACATATAAATACAGATCACTGCTATATTGGCGAGGTTTATTTACCAATTTAAACATACAAACAGAGCACTGCTATTGGCGAGGTTTATGTACCAATTTAAACATACAAACAGATCAATGCTATTGGCGAGGTTTATGTACCAATTTAAACATACAAACAGATCACTGCTATTGGCGAGGTTTATGTACCAATTTAAACATACAAACAGATCAATGCTATTGGCGAGGTTTATGTACCAATTTAAACATACAAACAGATCACTGCTATTGGCGAGGTTTATTTACCAATTTAAACATACAAACAGAGCACTGCTATTGGCGAGGTTTATGTACCAATTTAAACATACAAACAGATCACTGCTATTGGCGAGGTTTATGTACCAATTTAAACATACAAACAGATCAATGCTATTGGCGAGGTTTATGTACCAATTTAAACATACTAACAGATCACTGCTATTGGCGAGGTTTATGTACCAATTTAAATATACCATGTATACAAACAGATCAATGCTATTGGCGAGATAATTTAAATGTACCAATTTAAACATACAAACAGATCACTGCTATTGGCGAGGTTCAAGTACCAAACATATACATACAGATCAGTGCTAGAGACGAAACATACGGTACAGATCAGTGCTAGTGGTGAGGTAGACATAGTTACATACAGTTCAATGCTATGTTGCGAGGTTCAAGTACCAAACATACATTACAGATAAATATTTTTTATCTAGCCATTAACGTAAGATATAAAAAAGCAGAGAACCCACCTCTTATAAACGACCACGTTTATAATAGACATATATAGAGAAATAACTTTGCCGAAACTTAATCCTAAAATCAGCTTGCTTTCATATGAGCAGAATTTTCATTGATCATTTTAAAATTACACACTGAAATCTGGGAATCTCATAGGCCATTCTAAAATAAGTAAAATCATGTAATGTACCTTTTTGAAATGGTTTATACATGTGTATATGCTATTAATTTTATTTTTTTTTTAAATTAATCTAAAGGAGTTCCGGAAACTCAGCTTCTCCTTTAGTTCCTCAGAATTTTAAGATCTTTTACTTTCTATACAGTAGTTAATTTTCTCCTTTATTTAAATTACGTTTAACAATGTTTTCTCCCACATATTATTTAAAAAAAAAAAAAAGAAAAAAAAAAAAAAAAAAAAAAAAACAACAACAACAAAAAAACACACACACACAATGTTTATTCGGTACTCTTAGTTAGTTATATAGAGGATATTGAATGAATGTAGGTTTAATACTTAATTAGATGAACAAGTTGCATAAAATCATATTATGCGAGCCTCTGGCGAGCATAATATTGTTTTATTCAACGAGTTCAATAAATTTAGTATTGAATCTACACGAATATAATATTCTATTTATCACATATATAAAATAAGAATGGTAAACTGTTGTCAAAAGTCATTTTTCTTTGACGCGCCTATAGTGTAAGGCGGCTATTCCATTTATACGTGAACAGTGGTCCGCGTCCGTCATCCGCATCCGTTACCGATTCGCTAATGCCGGCTCGCCACGGCGAGCCGGTATTACGTTAGGATTTTACTGAGAAACAACCTAAAACTCCGAATCCATCCAAAAATTTAATCCAAGCCTGGCTTCCAGCTTTCTATAAAAATTTATCTATCAGGGCTAGGATCCAAAATTATTTAGCCAATCAAATTTAATCTTACATAGCGTCAAAAAACCTTCAATTTTCACGCCATATTTAAAAAGCAGCAAGTATTGTTTTGAGCGCAAAGATATTATGATGATTAAAAATGTTTGTTTTCATGAATTCTTTTCAATAAATCATATTAACACTGACTTTTGATTTAGCGATTTCACCTACTCCTCTGTAGTAAGTTTTCGTTTGGTTAATTAACATATCTGTGCATTTTTTTCTTTTTTCTTTTTTCCGGTCATTTTATCTTTTCCGGTATTTAGTGTATGTATTTACTGGCCGGGATCCGGGACGCCCGGACTGGCCGGGATCCGGGATTGTATAAGATATAGAGGAAAAACTTATAAACTATATTTGTGTTGATTATTGTCGTAATGAAAGGCCATTAAACGTTAAGTTTTTTTATTGTATGTAATGAACGTTAAATAAATTAAACTTTGGATATAAATATATTTAGAGCTATTTATCAACAAACTTAAAAATCACAATACTTATAATTATATGCCTAATTAATTGGAAAAATCAAAGACTACATTCTTGAATTGGTCAAATCCCGGGATCCCTTTATGTTTTAATGCGATCCCAGCTTTTCTGAAAACTATATTCTTGAACTGGCCAATTCCTTGGATCTCTTTATACTTTAATACGATCCCGGCTTTTCTGAAAACTATATTCTTGAACTGGTCAATTCCCGGGATCCCTATATGTTTTAATAGGATCCCGGCTTATCTGAAAAACATCTAAGACTGGTTAATTCCCGGGATCCCTATATTTTTAATAGGATCCCGTCTTTTCTGGCTGAATTAATTGACAACTTGTGTTTACTTTAGGACTTTTGTCTGTCACTCATTCCAATACTAAATATCATATTACAACTTAACTTCGTATAAAGAGACATCTTTATGAATTCTACCTATCTAACATTTATTTGGTCATGGTCAAAAGGCCATATAGTAAATGTGCATAGACATAGGGACTTCATTCTATCTGTTTACATGCATATTCATATATACTCATATTCCTCTTTGTTAAACTGAGTGAAACTGGCTTCCATAACTTTATGTCACTTTTATTTTGATGTTCGCTGAAGTCTCTTCAGCTAACAGAACTGTCATTTTTACATTTAAACGCACCCCTGGAAAAAAATTACGAAGCGAGTCGCTACTAGCTTTTTTAAAAGCTAACCTTGTCAAAGAATACGTTGAATCTATTCCTTATGTCCGTTTACCATCCGCTACCGCGACGGCATCCGCGACGTTTCGCAGGATGAGCGATTTTTTACGGACGCGGACAGTCACTGACATGTCTCATCCCTACAAAATGCCTCGAACGAAATTAAATACTTTATCGATTTCGAAAGAAAATACTAAAGAAGTCACCAAAATAGTGTAGGGGAACATATAAGTTTATGATGCAGCAATGACAGATTTAAAAAAAAAACAACATCTGGTCATCGGTTGCTAAAGAGATGTTATTTGAAAACCTAACTGATATTCAATGTTTGTTACCTAATTCTTTGATGTTACAACTGTTTTTGGTATTATAATGAAATTATATCATATTCTACAAATAATTATCCTCTGTTCACTATATTTCAATTAAAAGTATATAGAAAATAACGTACCTATGGAATAATACCCACGGACATGCCCGGACACGGATCACTGACGCGGACCACTGATCACGTATAAATGGAATAGCGGCCTAACGCTAACATTAGCGCGCTTTAACGCTATGTTTATAGCGCAAATGACGTGACGTCAAAGTGTTATTACACTAGTGTAATATCGTCTAGTGTAATACCGTTTTTATTTAATGGCTTTATTACACTCCTGCGCCTCGGTTTATGTGATAAGTTATATATAAGTGATTGATTAATAAAAAGTTTATAATTTTATATTAATGAAATTTTATATAACCACCAACGATGGTTTATTATTCATAAAGCAATTTGTAAATTCTACATCTTGAATACCTCTTATTAGTGTAACACTAATTAGAGATATGATGCACAATTTTCAAAGCAATACAATACTGTTGTACAACTAAATCCTATCGTCTGTTGAGGCTTTTACTCTGATAAAACGTGTGTCCAATTTATACACACGAAAATATTAAATAATATAGCATTAATTCATTTCCAACTAAACAATCAAGCTCTGGTCACTCTTTAACTCGTTTCAATCGAAAATGCAACTATACGTACGTATTACGTAACGCAGTAAAGTAAATATTATAACCCTCGTTTAAATATACAATCCCACTTATATTTAGGGTCACCGTTCTGCGTGATATTTACGAGAATTTATATGAAATAAGCTTATGTTCACACTTAACTAATTAATTAACATGAAATAGCACATGTTTAACGTGGGGCCTATTAAATTGGTGTCATTGTTTTTCTCTGCTGTATATTTTAATGGAAATGGCTGGACCAGGTGCTTGCAAAAATGCAGAATTTAAAACACTGTTTTGTCTCGTTTTGTATTACATATATGTACTTTGACCAAATTAGAATTACACGCCACTCGTGAAAAATTGCATGTGAAATATATTTCAATCTTCAAACATGCAAAACAAACAAATATCCTCTATTTAATTAACGGTGAATGGTAAAATAATTTGATAGACACGTACATTATAAAATTAAACAAATCTTATTGCGTACACCAGGAGCGTACATGTATATGAACTGTATTCACTTATAAATGAAATAATTGATGACAGGTGAATAAAATCAAACAATGCGTGGAATACACGTTTTCTCATGAAAACAAAAAAAAACGTTTTTACTTTAAAAGTATACAAGTATGATCTGGGACAGAAGATTATCTTCTGTTCCAGGTATAATGTAGAAATTATATCGGCCATAATTAATTCTATTAATTGATAGCCTACGTGATCAGTGGTCCGCGTCCGTCATCCGCTACCGATTCGCTAATTAAAGAATACGTTGAATCTTTTACCATCCGCTTCCGCGACGGCATCAGTGACGTTTCGCTGGATGAGCGATTTTTTACGGGCGCGGACAGTCACGGACATGTCTCATCCCTACAAACTACCTCGAACGAAATTAAATACTTTTTCGATTTCGAAAGAAAATACTAAAGAGCTCACTAAAATAGTGTGGGAGAACCTATAAGTTTATAATGCACCAATGACAGATTAAAAAAAAACATCTAGTCTTCGGTTGCTTAAGAGATATTATTCAAAAACATTCAATGTTTGTTACCTAATTCTTTGATGTTATGTACATTAGAATGAAAGTATACAGTATCATATTCTATAAAATAATTATCCTCTGTTCGCTTTACTTCAATTAAACGTAAATAGAAAAAACGTATCTATGGAATAATACCCACGGACATGCCCCGGACACGGATCACGGATCGCGAACGGCCTAACTGTAAGTCACGTATACTGACTCACGAAGGATGTTCCCAATAAATCTATATTTAGCGCTCCACAAAAGGAGTGAGTGTACTGATGAGCTAATTACGTACACTAGAGAACAAATAGAGTTAGTCAGAAAATTGAACAAATTTTAAAGTAATTGTTATAATACAGACACTTTGAGCTTACGAGAAATAAAATTAAGGTTATAGCAGATTTGATCATGTCTATTTTTTTGGTAAATTATGTGTCAAGTAAATTTTTCCTGTAAAAAAACGTCATTCCTATTTGTTCGCTAGCGTATTTTTATGACGACATAGACAAGCCTCTTTCTGACAATACACAAACCAATCATATGCCTTATTTCAACCCACGTGACGCAAATAATACCAGGGTAGCAAATAGAGGTTACACGTAAAACAGTCATAACTGCGGAGTTTTTAAGAAATCGGTTGGAAATATTTTATATTGAAAGGTTTTGGTAAGTGTATTTAAATAATTAATATTTTTTCTTGTCAGATATGTAAATTATTTTCATGTAGTTACATTCTAATGAGAGAAAATCGGTTTTAAACAGCGTCGTGAGACAACAAATTTTGATCGTCGCCATCTTGGCTTTATTCTGTAACAGGACAACACCTTCGATTGTCCGTTAACAGTCTTAATTTTCATATAATTTACAGATTTTACCGAACATGTTATCGTCAGTTTACGTTCAAGCAAGGAGATAGTTTTTTGGGTCAGTAAATTGACCTACTTTTAGGTCTAAGAAACAAAGAAAGTCTGTCTTTGTTATCTTGAATCATCCAGTGCTCAGCTGTTCCGTGTTTGGACTTTGTGGCATGGTGGCACGTTTTCGTGTAATTAGTTTGTTATAATGAAAGAAAACACGTGTTGACGGTTTTTATATACATTAGTCTTCAATACGCAAATAAAAGTGTCTTCTAATAAGTTGATTACTACTACAATCTAGGTCAATAATGATGAACTGTTTATAAATTATGTACATTCACAATGAACTTACTATGAAGCTGGTATACCACAGGCGCTAGTCACATAATCAAATATTTTACATAATCGGTCTATATATGTATATAAAGATATTATATACATATATAGACCGATTATGTAAAATATTTGATTATGTGACTAGCGCCTGTGTGGTATACTGAGTAATTATATAAATTTATTTATAATGTTTTTTTTCTATAAACATAATGAGGAATTTGGTGTGATATTAGTTCTGGCTTCCAAAACTTTATAAGCCGCTCTTTAACATTTTTGTTTTTCATCTGATGCGGCATTAAAGTTTTGGATTAGACCCGTTACGAAACCTAACCAGAATAACAAAAGTTGATTTATTCTTGTTTTTCACTTGCAAATACACTTGACCAATCAATTCTTGTGCATTTTACGATAAAACAATCATTTTAATATCATTCTATACCAATTAAAGTATCAAAATATTAATACCGTCATTAAAATTGCCTATTTAACTGTAAAATATCAATTTACGCCGACTACAGTTGGCCATGACATTCAGGTGCCACGCGAGATCTCGTATGACGTCATTCGCGGGAACAGATTTGAATAGAGTCGTGTACTATATTTAGAACATTTTATTGACATGATTTCGATACTTTAATTCAAGATAATGTTTTTATTTATTTTCATTAATTTTTTAGTACTTAAATACGATTGTATTGAATATAAAAGTCAGTAAATCACCTTTTTCAATACTTTTAAAAAAAGTAATTTATAAAAATATTGGAGGCACATGGGTTCGTAAAGGTCAATCTCGTAATCACGTGATCAAACATTTTGGCAATATGGCGGCCAAGTGCCGAAAATTTTACCTGTCGGAAACTATTAGGTAGTTTATGTTCCTAATAAGATTTTTATTTGTCCATCCTTGGCTTATCAACAGATTATATATAGTTTTATCAAGGTATGCTTTACTTTACTTCATGGCATGTTCGATGAATAAATACGAGCGTGTCAGATTCCTGGCACGATTATTGGTGGACTTTCCCTACGGGGTTATCTTCAGCGTTCACGTCATGTCATAGTATATAAACGGGTACGCTGAAGACCTTAAGCTAGTGTGATATAAGTTTCTTTTGAATTTATTAGATAAAGGAAACTAATGGAAATTCCAGAATTGGGTTTCCCATTTAATCCATTATGTGTTGAATTGCCTTAGTATGTTACAGCACAGGAACTTGAAATTCTATCAATATTAATGATAATATACCCCTATACAGTATTAATAAACACAAGGAATGAAACGCATACAAAACAACGGATCAAAATAATCTATCGGTATACTGTAAAGGGGGTATATTTTGGATATTATCATTAATATTGATAGAATTTCAAGTTCCTGTGGTTACAGACTTTGCTGCATCTGTTTAAGGAACTGCCCCTTAACAATTTCGGTATATCAATTTTAAATGTTAGTTATCTAACATAACAGAGATTGGTCAGACTGCACTAGTGATGATGGCTACATATATTGTTTCAACAAGTTTTTATACTAATAAACAAGGATGTCGGGTAATCCAATAGTCATACTTCATTAAAAAATTTATGCAGTATTGAATAATACAATTTAGTAAATGATTGTTACAAGTTATTTTCTATTTCAGCTTTCAGAGGTAGTGGCACACAAAAAAATTCAATACAGCTTAAAAAAAAACATTATTTCATATAATGGAACAAAACGATCCAAATCTCCCACCTACAACATTCTGTCGATCTGGTTGTGGTTTTTATGGAAGTGAATCTTTCGAAGGCCTCTGCTCCAAGTGTTATAAAGATCAGATTAAGCGAAAGAACCAGAGTTCTTCGCCAGTGAGTTCAGCTGGGCGCGTGAGCCCCGCATCATCTCTTCAAGGTGAGAAGGAAATCAACTGTGTGAGCCAGGCACTGGCTAAAACTAATATAGGTAAATCTGCATGTGTGTACACCTCCTTCCTCTGTCTATCAGTGTCTAAACGTATTTCTCCTATCTTACTCTCTGCTTCATAGCTTTGTTTGTTTTTTCTTGTTTGCACTTCTCCTCTTTCTCTCTCGTGTTATTTCCTCCTAGTCCTAGTGCTTTGCTTGTTCAGTTTCTCTGCAATTTGTAACCCTTAACCTTTCATATAATATTATCAATTATTCAATATATATTTTTCTCTGTTTAGAAATTAGACTTTAAGGATTATATACCCTAATGTAAATTCTAAATTTAGAATCGTTTTTCTTCTGACATTTTCCTTATTATTATTACATTGGAAGCCTATTCTCCAGGGGTTACATGCTTTGATCTGGAGTTTGAATCCCAAAACAGAGCAGTTGAATATGCAGGTAATGGATCCCAACCTTTATGGGTTTCTCGATAGCAATGGGTTTGAACCATCTTATTATTCTTAAGCTTGAATGAACTATTTGATAAAGAATTGGAAAAATTCCATGTTTAGTATGTAGTTATTGCCTTGTCAGAAGCTGGATGTAATCAATATTATAGTAGTTATATTTATTATCACTTATACATTGTACTATTATATCTTTTTAATTAAATTCCCTGTCAACCATAACAGATCAATTTTGAAGGCATATGTATGTATGGAATTTTTTTGTAAAAAATATCATTTACATGAACAAATTACAATCTTGGGAGAAAAATTGAATAGGTTTTAAAAAATTTCCATTTCTTTTTAAAGATTTAGATACGGTCATCATACCATGCTAAAATTTCCAAATTAACTTATTAAGAAGGCATGAGTGGTTGAATAGTGCATTTAACCAGCATATTTTACAGAGGATGTACACTGCAGCCTATATTAATAGAAGCTGGTCATATTTTAGTTTGTAAATAAGTAGCTTATAAAAGAGAATGTCAGATTCTCTATTTTTGTGAACAATGCTTATAATGCTTTGGATAATGCTTTTGTAAATGGTATAAAATTTTGATTGATAATTTTGTTTGTTTTATTTGTGTACTATATTATATATACAGTGCTCTAGATAAGCCTGGTAATCAAAAATTGTTTTTCAAAAAAAAAAAAAGACTTGAAATTTAAAATCCTGACTAAAATGAATTCAAGTATTAAAAACGAATTGGGATGAAATTGCTCTATTTCTTTCTTTTTTTCCCTCTAAATATTGGGAATGTCTTAAAAATGTTTTAAGAGATTCTGCAGCAATAACTGTAAACAAAGGCATGCCTGATGAAATAACATGTTACACAGGTAAAAACACTTAATAGTGCATTAATAGTCGGCATTTTGAAAATTTTGGTTAAGGGCAGATAAACATTGTGATATGTGACTCAATTCAAACAAAAACAAACAAAAAACTAATTGATAACAAAATTGAGTAGGGAAAGAGCAGGAAGACAAATTAGCTCAAAAAAGTTGGTAGTTGTAGTGAAAACTAAATAAATAGTAATTGACCCAAATCTTTTCTAGAGCACTGTATAGTAATCCAGTGTGATTAATCACAATATATGTTTTCACTGGTTTTACTTCTCATAGAAAATAATCTATAATTTCCTTTGCTTGCCATATATGATAAGGTATTCTAATCTTAAGTTATATTTTTGTAACTATAGGCAATGGAATATTGGGAATTTCTTAAAAATGTTTTAAGAGATTCTGCAGCGAGTCTTATAAAAAAAACCTGTTTCATTGTAAGTAAAGAAAATACTACAAGTTATTATCTATAGCTAATTTTGAAAAAGAACTCCATATGGACAAAATAAAAGTTTTAATACATAAAAAGATGTATTTGTATATATTTATTATTATTGTTCTTAAATTAAGGGTGTGTCCAGGAATCTGGATCTGATAGATCCTCCTCCTCCACATCAATCACTGTGACAAGCACCACCCCCTCTGTAGAGACGGCCACACCTACTATACAAGTTCCAAATGTAGACAAAGACAGCAAAGAGAAGGAGGAAGGAGCAGTTGGTAAGATTTTGCTTTCTTTTATAGATGCTTCCTCAAAGCAATTATTAACCCCCCTGGCTGCCATCATTAGTTTATATGCCTAATGACCAGGTCTTTCATAAATTATCTTCATGAAAACTGAAAATCTTTAACATATTGGTGCGAAAATAATATTTTCTTTCATAAATATACTTAGATTTTTGTGTGATTTTCACATTCAATTTGAGATAAAAACCATTTAACACTTGATTTTTGGAGATATTCTGCCAAAAATTCTTGGAAAGTAGTGTAAGTAGATCTTTGATTTTGCACTCCAGTTATTGATTCAATCATCAAATATTACACAATTTTCTTACAAAGATATTTCCAGTACTGTCATGCCAAAACAAGGCTGGAGAACTTCCTGATAATCTATAATAATTAACATATTCATGTAAAATGGTTTTATTGGGTGTAGAAATGGCAAAGGAAGGAAACCAAGTTAATTCTAATTTTGATGTGTTTAAGGCGGGAGCGACGTAAGTGATATAGCAGGCACATCCCCGGACACTTCCAAAGACAAGAAAAAGAAAAACAGATGCCATACATGCAAGAAGAAGGTTGGACTCACAGGTAATACTGAATAATGTTAGAAATATTGTTTAATTTTGAAGGTAATTAGAATTAAACTTTATAATACTTGAAGGCTATAGTTGGGATGGTGTCTTTGTCCTGTTATATAAACTTCCTAGATTGAACTTACCTTGTGTTTTAAAATGATTCATAATTCGGAAATTAATCACAATACAAATTTGTGATAGTTTTGCAAATTTACAAAGGAAACCATGTGTTGTAAAATACTTTCTTCGTCTTTTTTTTTACAAACACGAATGTGTTTCAAAGGTGGCATTGGAACATGAAATGTAATGTGTAACCACTTGTTTAGAAACTCTTTTAAGAGATATAGGGAAATCAGTTCTTGTATTGTTTATATGACTAAAAAATGTTCGCATGTTAAATAGGAAGAAATAAGATTTATGTTTTTGGTCTGTTTCAGGTTTTCAGTGCCGCTGTGGGGGGATGTATTGTAGTTTACACCGCTATTCGGACAAGCATGAATGCACTTTTAATTATAAGGAAATGGCCCAAGAGCAGATTCGTAAAAATAACCCTGTGATAGTTGGAGAGAAAATTCAGAAAATTTAAACACTTGGCGGCGAAGACTATATTATCACTTGTTATGAAATAATTGCTGTATGGTTTCTTTTTTTTTCGTTTTGACAAAAGTATATTCAAATATATATATATTACATGTATTATTAAGCAACATTTTTTTAATGATGATGTTTTTGATTTAACATTTTTCCTCCTGTTTTTTTTTCGGTGTTAATTTTTTCTTGTTTTTAGTGTCTTAGAATACAGAATTGAAAGATTGAGTGATATTTTATTGTGTCTCTTTACCTTTTATATAAAATGTATAAATGTTGCTTCAAACAGGGGTATAACTGATGTTCACAAGGTTCAAATGAAAAAAATTGTCTAATTGAATTTGAATATATTATGTATAATGTCCTACAAAAGGAGAAAATAAATCACAGTGTTATAAATGCACATTTTCTTTGGTCAGTATTTTTTTTAATTTCGTGATATAAATGCATGATGTTTATTAACTTGGTGTATTTTTATGATTAAATTGTTTGATAGGGATATTGCACTGTGGCTTCTTTAATGACCATACAGTCTGATTTGAAATAAAAGGATTGTCCAGAAGTTAGTAAGTTTATCTGTATGATAAAGGTTTATGACTATAACATGTGCAATTGTAATTTACTGTGATACTAAAGGGAGGTAACAATATATTATGTACTCTTCACTGAAGAAGGTAAGTAATCCATTTTCATTTTAAACTAGAACATTGGAAACCAGTAGGCATTAGTTGTAATTTGATATTCTGATTGGTTGATATTTTTACGCATTCTGAAATTGACCAACCATAAGCTTTCGTATGGAACTGGTGTAAAATTTTCAGTGCAGTTCTAATGTTCATTGATAGCTTCTGATAATTTTGTCACTCTGACATGTCTGACATATGTTTAAATATTATTACATTTGAATAATCTTCTGTAACTGATTCTCTCTTAAATTGAAGAAAAAATTTACCATTAGGCTCTTAACCTGATCTTGGGAAAATTTTGTAAATGCATTGACTTGAAAAGAAAAATGAAAACTCAAAAAAAAATGTTTGCTGATGTATTTAACCTGCATTAGTTTAGATTCAACTTTAGTTTGTTAATTTTGATTAAAATTTAAAAATTATGTGAACAATTTTGTAAATAGGTCCTATAGATTTAAGTGGGCTCCAACAATGTGCAAAGAACTTTGGTTATATTTAGAAAACATTGGAAGAAATTGTAAAATGTGGTTACCCATTTAGTATTATAACATACTGTAGAATGTAGTAAATTTTATTTGACTAGTATACTGTTGAACAGTAAATTTTTGTAAAATTCTTTTTTATAATACAGAATTTTGACTAATGTACTGTTGATTTGAGATAAACCTGCCGTTCATAACACACCAGTACATGGTGTAAGCTTCAAGTCTTTTCACAACCAAGTGTAAGCAAATATGTGTCTTATAATAGTTATTATGAAAATATGATTGGAAATGTTTTATATGGATACAGTTACAGTGGGTTTTGATTATAGCAATCTCATCATACAAAATGCTTATTGTGTCGCCTTGAAAAGGTGACATATAGGGGTTACTTTGGTCGGCGGTGTCGGCGGCGGCGGCGTCTGTGTCGGCGTCGTTGTCGTTGTCGGTGTCGGCGTCGGCGTCCGCTAAAGCTTGTCCGGAGCAGAACTCAGTCACTATAAGTCTGATTGACTTCAAACTTGGTATGCATGCTTCTTTCAATAACCCGAAGTGCAGTGCACAAGGACCGGTACTCTGCAGTTCTTATTTTTTGAGTTATTGCCCTTTGTTAATTTTCATACTTTAATTTTGTCCGGGCCATTTCTCTTCAACTAAAAAAGCTATAGACTTGAAACTTCATAGGATGATAGATCTCATTAAGAAGAAATGCAGTGCACAAGAACCAGTACTCTGAACTTCCTAATTTTTGAGTTATTGCCCTTTGTTAATTTTCATACTTTATTTTTGTCCGGGCCATTTCTCCTATGTATAAAAGCCATTGACTTGAAACTTCATAGGATGATAGGTCTCATTAAGAAGAAGTGCAGTGCACAAGAACTGGTACTCTGCATTTCTTATTTTTGAGTTATTGCCCTTTGTTTATTTTCATTTTTTAATTTTGTCTGGGCCATTTCTCTCCTTAAGTATAAATGCTATGGACTTGAAACTTCATAGGATGATAGATCTCATTATTAAGAAGTGCAGTGCACAAGAATCGGTACTTTGCATTTCTTAATTTTTGAGTTATGGCCCTTTGTTAATTTTCATACTTAATTTTTTGTCCAGGCCATTTCTCCGAAAGTATAAAAAGTTATGGACTTGAAAACTTCATAGGATGATAGATCTCATTAAAAAAGAAGTGCAGTGCATAAGAACTGATACTCTGCAATTTTATTTTTGAGTAATTGCCCTTTGTTGATTTTCTTACTTTATTTTTGTCCTGGTCATTTCTCCTCAAGTATGAAAGCTATGGACTTGAAACATCATAGAATGATAGATCTTATTGATAAGAAGTGCAGTGTACAGAAATGCTGCTCTGCACGTAATTATTTTTTTAGTTATTGCCCTTTGTTATTTTTCATATTTCATTTTTGTCCTGGCCATTTCCCCTAAACTACATTGTTCACAAGGCGACACATCCGACTCGCGGAGTTCTAGTTGTTATCTATAATTTTAAAACCATGATTCTTGTTATATGACTGTGTGAGCAAGAAGTTTATGAGTTATGTTAAATATTGCTGCACATTTCTTGTAGTTTTTTGCCTCGTAAATCTGAGAAATGTTGATAAAATTTTAATATTTGTGAATGGTGAGTTGTTGGGAGTTAATACTGTATGTGTAAACTTGATAAGTCTTGTTTGTCACTTTGTCAGCTATAATGTTAGCTTTTACCTTGCCTTTATTTACATTTTGAAAGCTTTCTCTTTTATTAAAGCTGAGTTTTTTGACACAGTGTAAATGAAAGTAGTAATGTAACAGCCACATAATGTGCTGTTAGAATTAGGTGACAAGTTTAAACATGCATGCTGGAGGTACATGTTGTTTGATAATTGAGAGAAAGGACATCGCTACAGATTACTTGTGTAGTGTAAACATTTATACTTATTCTGAAATGAAGGTATGCAGTGAATGCTTGGTTTTCCTTTATCATTCACACATTATTCATGATCATTGGTTCAAGATTGTCATCCATTGATTAGTGAATTCTATAATTGGAAAACATCACTTATCCTGTTCTTGTTCCATAACTTAAGGCATTAATTCTGAAATATAAATGTGTTTGACACAAGTTGAACATTGTTTTCAAATGGTATTTGTTTTCCAGTACACTGGCATGTTTTTAATTGATATAATCTCTTATATAAACTGCATATATTTGAAATTATTGCATGTTGTTACATGCCCTCCTAGTTATATTCATTTCATTATAATAACTTGTTTTTTCATTTGTTTAATTTTGTTTGATTGTATTAATAAATATGGATAGCAGAATATGAATAGAGGGTCTTTTTGTAATTTCAAAGCTCCCGTTGCTAAAAATTAAGTGTATTTGGAACTTAAATAACAAGGTTAATCTTTAGATTTAGACTGTTTCTTCAGGGCTATACTCTCATATACTGGGTATATTCTTCATAGCTACAGGCCAGCCAAGATATTTCTATAATTATACAAGTTTATTGCATAAAGTTTATGGTAAAGCAATTATGTACCGTTATTGTATTTACTTTTGTATGCCCATAAAACTGGTGAGTTTTAAAATTTTACAGTAAAGTCTTGACATTCTGGTAAGACTGGTGATTGATGTAGAAATTTCAAGCTAGTATCACCTTTTATTCACCGTAAGTGAACTAATGGTCATTATTATCATAATTTACAAGGCCATCCCCAAATAAACTTGTTTGTTGGTAGGCGTGCAACTGATTTCATTAAAAACTCCCCGAACCAAAATGTAAATGATATTTTGGGGGTAAGAGTGGGGATTTTGTACCCACTCGACAGTTTCCAAAGCTGTGGGAAAACTTTTAAAGAAAATGTACCCCAATGTTGCATATCCACAAACAAACATTGTTAATTATGAAAGGATGGCCTAATGAAGAAATTTTGGGTTGCAGTTATGTTTTCTGTTTTTATGTTTATTGCTGTTGCAAATTGTCTTATTTGTTTATATTTAAATAATGATTTTAACAAGGTTTTTTTTTGGAGTGTCATGTTTCTCTTGTATGTATATAATATTATTATATATATATATATATAGACACCTTTAAACTTCATCATTTATAATAGCTTAATTGGAAATACACATCATGTTGAAATAAATTCTGTTTTGTTTTTGTTTGGCTATTGGAGTTTATGAGTTTACTTCCAACCACTTATTCCTTGTATAGTGTATGAAATAGTGGGAATGCTAGTTAAGATTTAATATGATTGTAATTCTATATATCTGAGAGGATCAAATCAAGTCTGCTTGTCAAGGTCACTGGTTTTATTAAACTTCAGTGGTGTACAAATGATATACAATATAATAAATTGGAACATAATTTATGTCTCCCCATACATACTCCTTAAACATTTTTATGGACAAAATTTTTGCTTTCCAGTTTGTAAACTTTTATTTATGTACATGCAAAACTTGCATGTGCTGTAAAGTTTAAGCTCTGAAGAAACCAAATTTTACAGTTCAGTTGATTTTCAACATCAACAATAAATTTAAATTCTCTCCCTTTGCTTAGGGGAGGTGGTAATAAAAATATTTAAAGGTTTTTATCTATGAATTAATCTATTTAAGTGATTTTTGTACTGGGATCTGTGTTTACTTGGTACATAAGTTTTTAAACTGAAAGTGAAAATTATTATTTAATTTCCTTGACTTGTATGAACTTTGCAATTGTTCCCACTACCTATGAGGTGCAGACCTGGGGTAATCATTAACTGTAATCATTGATTTTGTAATTGATTACATGATTACACTGTAATCATCATGTAATTGATTACCTTGCCCAAAACTGATTACATTAATTGTAATTAATCAATTACAGCTTAAATTCAGTCAGTAATTATGATTACATTTTGATTGACATTGATTACTTTCAGATTTAAAAGGAAACTATTTAAGTTCAAAGGATGCCTTTATTTTACATTATACAGTTTAACTTTTGTTTTTTAGTTATACAGTAAAAATCCTCAATTAGACTGATAAAAGTGAACATTCTTATCATTGCTTACATACTTTAAGACCATGGTCTACTTTAGTCATTTTGTATGAATAAACAATATGTTTATTTATATGTATCTACAAATACATTATAAAAGAAACTATCAAAGAATGCTTTGATATTTAATCTGATAAAAGGAAAACATATTTCTGGAGAAATTTAACGTTAACTTTACAGTATCACTTATTATATGATGTACATAAATCAAATGAAAATTTGAATTTTCAAAAAATAAATGTGCTGAAAGCAACAATGTACCACTCTAAAATTGACCTTCTCACCTAATTTCATACAATAACCCAATAACAGTTTTTCACACCTTGTGAAATCAAGTGTCATGCTATAGAGCATTCAAGCAGATCATAACAACAAATTTAAGATCTAGATAGGTGTTGACTTCAATATCAGTGGTCTCCATTGTCACATTAAAATTAAAACAAAAATTTGGACTGACTAATAATGGTGGTCTTAAAAGTGAATAAGCAGGTGGTTAAATCTGGATCATGAAACCATTGACTTAAAGAATCTTTTTAAAAATGGTCTTAATAGCAGGGTGGTCTTAATTCTGGGGTGGTTTAATGTACATTCAATGTAATCAATTATCAATCAATTACTCTCTTAAAAGTAATTGTAATTCAATTGATTACAGAGGCAAATGTGAGTAATCAATCTTAATCAATTACAATAAAATCTGAAAGTAATTGTAATTTAATCAATTACTGATCAATTTAATCATCCCCAGGTCTGATGAGGTGACCTAGTACATTATGTTTAATGTACCTTATACAGCATTGAGGAAAAGTATATGTTAAGGCCGTAGGAAACTAAGTGAAGTCTTTAATCCTCCACACTAAATACCTTAAATGACCTTTTCGAAGGAAAATTTATAGCTATTGCTACAGTCAGATTGTGTTTGCCATTGTTTTTATACCACCGAAACTAAGTTTGGGGGGGTATATAGGAGTCACTGGGTGGTCGGTCCAGCTGTCCGTTGCATTTTCCTTATCTGGAGCATAACTTGAAGACTAATGGTCTGAATTCAATACAACTTCATACAATGATAAAGCACATTGAGAGGAAGTGCAGTGGACAAGAACCATAACTCTATCCAGTGTAATTATAGATTGATTGCCCTTTGTTACTTTTCCCACAGAGTATAACATGAAATCTACTGGTTGGAATTCAATACAAGCTCGTACAATGGTCAAGTATATTGAGAGGAAGCACAGTAAACAGGAATCATAACTCTTTCTTGACTTATTTAAGAGTTATTGCCCTTTAATACTTTGTGTAAATGAAGTGCAGTGCTCAAGAACTATAACTCTAATTGGGATAATTACATAGTTATTGCCCTTTGTTACTTTTTCTTGTCCAGTGCATAACTTGAAAACTATTGGTTGGAATTCAAAACTTAATACAATGGTCAAGCATAATGAGAGGAAGTGCAGTGTACAATAATCATAACTCCATCTTCAATATTTGCAGAGTTATTGCCCTTTGTTTTTACCTTGTCTGATGCATAACTTAAAAACTTATGTTTGGAATTCAATGCAACTTCATACAATGGTCAAGAGCAATGAGAGTAAGTGCAGTGCTTAAGAACGGTAACTCTATCTGGACTTATTACAGAGTAATTCAATAAAACTTCATCAATGGTCAACCACAGCGAAAGGAAATGCAACGACAACCATGACAATTAAAATTCTTTTACTAGGTATTCTGTTACTAGTAACTTCCTCATTTCCGAAGCAGTCTTGTGGGGGTATTAATCACATTTAGTGATAGTTATTTTTAATTTCTTAATGGGTTGTCTTCATACATGCACAAAACCATCCTTTGGACAAGACCTTTAACTTGAAAAGACCAAACTAAACTCAAAGGTCAAATGATTGAATTTTTCTTTTTTGCTAAAATTGGCAATAACTTTGTTATTTATGGATTGTCTTCAAACTAAGACGGACAAGTCTTCCAATTTGAATTTGACCTTCATTCATCAATGACCTTGAACATCAAATTTTCTTAATTTTGCTATATTAGACTGTTACTTTGTTAAATATGAATAAATTTTCTTCATACTTAAGCACAAAAAAAACAACACCAGGACAATGCTTAAAGGTCATCATACTCAATTAGACCTTGACTGAAAACTAACCATGAACTTGAAAGGTCAAATTATTGTATTTTCAGTTTTTTGTGTGCCTGAGCTGTCCGTCGTATATTGTCCGTCATCATTTAGTTCTTTAACACTATAGTGGTCACATTTTTTGCCTCAATTGTCATCAAACCTGGTCAGAATGTTTTTCTAAGTACAGTCGACTCCAGTTAAAACGAACTTGCTTAATATAACAAATTATCGTTAATAGCAAACTAAATCTGAAGTCCCCGAACCATATTTTCAAGTCCAAAATGGCAAAATACACGTTAATTTCCTCGGTTAAAACAAACTGTTTTAATTGAAATATCGGGATGTGCTTGATTAAAGATCAGGACATAAATGCCGCTATTCGATAATTTTCGACTAAATACATGTACATAATAATTATACTGTTCACCTGCATAAAATTATTGCTGTCGTAAAACATTGATCACACCGGTTATTGATTTTTCACGGCAAATTTTCCAATCCTAACAAGTCAGCGAAATATGTTGCTACTTCGCTTTTAGCGGACTTCTGATATAACGAACGATATTTATATGTCCCATTGAGTTCGTTATAAGCGGAGTCGACTGTAATTGCTAAAACAAGTTTAAGCATTGGTAATCTCCGACAAAGGAGCCCGATGAAAGACTAGCTCAAAGGAGCCAAAAGTAGAAAAATCTTGTTAACAATCTATTGACTACAGTTTCAGTCCGAAATTACGGGTTGAGGCATCAGAATTGAGGCCTGATCGTTAAACTTTGCATGATTATAACGGGGAACAAAATGGGTTTATGTGTTGATGCATCTCATGTGAGGTGGTTTTGACCCCTGGTGTTGCTTAAATCCTGTAACACCCCAGGTTAGCCAAAATTATCTTTCCTGCACATGTTTTAGCACATATGACCTTTACTGTGTGGGTGCCCTGTAAAAACAATAAAAACAATTTACTGTTTTAAGAATCTGAAGTGAAATGTTTCAGTGTTACTAAGTTTTAACTTAAAATTTTAAGTGTAAATGAAAAATTGACAAGTATTTTCCATCATCAAGTAGATTGAAATTTAAATGGGAAGATAAAACATAATGTATGATTCACTGCTGTAAGTGTGCCTGTTTCAAAGAAAAAATTAGCTATTATCAAAATGATGGCGGGATAGAAGCTGACAAATATTAAAATGAAGCTCATTATCCAGTCACATTAAAAGGCATCATCATAAATCTTTGAATACTAGTACTTTATAATTATGACAACATGTAAGTCAAGAGACAATATTGTAAAATGTATATACATGTATTTGGAGCCATGCCCCTTAAACGTTCAACCTTGAATTATCCCCCTGTTCCTTATTGAAACAGGTCATACATCCATATATATAATACTGGCTGTCTCATTTCAGTATAATTGTATTAAATTTTATGTGAATGCAATCTCTTAGATAAAGAAATGTTCAAAATCCAAAGCAGGGCAATTCTAGTCTTTTAATTCAATGTTTCATGGTACAATCATGTACATTGTAAATAATTGTTAACTGATAAAAAAGAAACGAGACATAGTTGTAGCTGAACATATCAATTTAATTTCTTTGAATTTAGTGGTATGCTACCTTAATACGGTTTTTTAAAGTGCACTTTAATCAGGAAATCGAAACTCAAACAAACAATGATGTTTCCTATAACTGGTTTAAATTCCTGAATTGTTTATAGTGTGTTCTTTTTAAAGTATCAAGAAATAAAGGCCTTTTCTAGCGTTTTCTTGCTAGCATGTTGTTGTTGTTTGTGTTGTTTTTAGCTCACGTGAGAGGTGAGCCTTTGTGATGGCAATGTGTTGTTCTCCACAACGTTTTCTTTTTAACCAGACAAAACTATCAGAAATGATCCTTAGAAAGTCTAAGTGGTTCCAGTCTGATGCATAAGCAGGTCACTGAAGGCTCTGCCCTAAAACCACTTAGTTTTCTTAGACATACATAATAAAAATGTCTTAAAATCTCTAAAAGTACAATATCTATACAGTAGCTTTAATATTTTGCACATGTCATCACCCTTTGGTCCTCTAAAATATGAATATATGTCATTGTCTTGGGATCAAAATGGCCCAGTCCTGGTGGTCACTTAGTTTATATAGAATTCTACAAAATTCTGTAAGGTCAAAAATGGTCCGGCCATTTTATTTTATAAACTTGTATAACGAAAATGTCTTTAAAATTTTCTTCTCTGTAAATTTGTATATTTTCACCATATTCAAATGTTCATACTGAATCATTTAACTTCAAGCGATATTTCATAAATAAATATGAATTACCATACTGTATGATACATTTCTATTCTTTTTATCAATATTTGAAATACCTATAGAAAATGTGGCCATTGGTATACAGGAATATCATTTACTGGTGCATTGTGTGACCAATTTAGAGGTGCAATACCCAAATCGTATTGATTTATGCAATGATAATTATTACGAAAATCACCGTTCAAGATGTCTGCTGAAGATGAAAATCCGGAATTAAATGATGAAGAATCATCAAATAAAGCAAAGAAATCAGCAAAATATGATTCTGGAGCTGCTGATTTAGAAAAAGTTACTGATTATGTAGAGGAAGCTGAAATTTCCCCACAAAATATTGGAGAGGTAATGAAATATTTGATGTTGAATTGACAAAACGTGACAAATTCCTCATTGAGTCATTCCCCACCCATTCATATTATTGAAGCATTCTATCTTGGCAATACTTATTACGGATAATTAATAATAAAATTATCATAAATAATCCCCTGTTGATCTTAAAGAACAACACATTTACTAAATTGTCGGGGTATATAACTCACCATAATTGGCATAATCAGGTCTTACCGTCTAGGATTTCATGACAGTCTTTAAATTTATGGAGCCAGGACTTTTTGGTCACAGATCGTGGAAGCAGCCCTGCCTTTAATTTTGGGGAAAAATTACATGGTATACAGCAAAATTCACTTCTATTCGTGGGCATGAAATTTCGTGGTTTTATCAAAACGGGCAAATTTGTGGGTTTTTAAATTTGTGGATTTTCATTTTCTTTAAAAATAAATTCAGTATTGTAACCTAATGCAGAGTAATCTTAAATTTTATAGCCAAATATTTTTACTTACAGTATGCACATATACGTGTCACACAGCGCTTGTCAATAAATTTAATCCTTGCCTCTGGGCATTACTCTAATACAGCACAGTTACTGTCTGCTGATAATTGATTGCAATTAACACATTTATGTGACATGATATGCACCTCCATTGGACACACGATTTCGAGACGTTTCGGCCCCAAGACATTTGGCCCCAAACCACCCAAGACGTTTCGGCCCCGGACGTTTCGGCCCTTTACCAAATCGGCCCCAGAATAAGTACTGTATTTTAAACCGATAAATTAATAGCATTTCAATAAAAAAATTAATCAATTTACAGACTTCACGAAAGTTGAAAAAAACTGTCAGACATTCGGTCTGACAAACCACGAAAATCTGTCGGACCGAAACAAAATCTGTCGGACCAAATAAAATTGATCAAAATCAAAGAAAAACTTGTGTTTGTATTTCTAAGACACTTTTTGTCTTTTATTTTTTCGCCGTAAAGATCGCCACAGTCTGTACAGCGCATTTTCATCTCCTCCCTGTCATACACCAATGATTCATGGTTCTGCTTCCATTTTTCATTAAATTTTGTTTCAGGTCTATTCTTTTCATCCTTTATTGCTGTTCTGCGCACTCTTCTGACGTAGATTTTCGGTTTTTCCCAGGTTTGGCACCTTTAGCAACGCCATTTTGTATAAATGTGGCTTGGATAAAAGCCGGACAGTCGGACCGATCCGGAATAAAAAATTGTCGGACCTGATCAAAATTTATCGGACATGTCCGATGGACCGACGTATTTCGGGAAGTCTGAATTTATATATATATTTAATCATTTTGTATAAAAACTAGATTATTATAGTAGTAGGGGGAAAGTAATCAATACAAACAGAACAGAACATAAACTTTATTTGAAAAAATATAATACACAAACAAACAGTTATTAACCATATATAGATAATATTTTATTTGAATGATTAAGAAGCAAGACACAAAACAATACCGCCAATTAGCATTAAGTATAAACAGTTAATTAGTTACACTTTGAAAAATTACGTATAGTTTAATTAAGATCAAAAGATTATGTATTCTAAGGAAAAATTGTAAGTTACTTTCTTAATCCAGAAGTTTTAGTGGTTTGTTTTATAGGTAAGTAACCAGCCTTTATTGTTTGTTACACCTGTAAAAACATTAACGTATATCTAATGGGAGAGTTTCTAGATAATCCAGCAGAGTTGTCTTTGCAGCGCCCCTGACAAATAAGAGGTATACACCTCTGCTGGCTATCTCTGTGTATAGCAGGTTTACATTGAATTTCAATGGGAGAATGCAGAGTATGTAATCAACTGATCTAATTAATAAGCTAAAGTTTATATTTCAAAGTAAACTGATTAACACTGCAGTCTTATAAATGGTGAATTACTGTTGTGTTTCACTTTGTAATGGGTTTGTAATGGGTTTGGAGGGTTTCATTTTCAACAAGACAAAAGGCTTAAGCTGAATTCTAGATATATAAGTTCTAAATTCTAGATAAATTCTTAAGCGGACAAAATTGAAAAAGAAACCAATGTTTGGCAATTCCATTCAAAATTCAAAATTTATCTAAAATTTATTTAAGGTCACCTTTTGGTTGATAGTAACATTTAAGGACATGAATGGTGACATGTCCGGGGTCTGTACTCTCGCGGATGGACCCTCATTAAGCCTAGAATACATACATACACCTTAAGCTAACAATTAATAATAATAATCACCCCATGATCATCAAGAACAAAATTACTATCCAGCACCTATTTACTATATAAAATATATTTTATATACCAGTAGTAATAGTAATTTTCTTGTTGCCTGTAGTCAGAGACAGGTGCATAGCATCAAAACTGATACATGTGGAATGGGTAATAGGATTTGCAAAACAACTGAAAATTCTGAAATCAGAACTTCCTGCAGCTATACTAAGTAATTAAACAGGGGTCACATATTTTATATGTCTGTTTCATGATTCTAAATTGTTGACAAACTAGCTTGATTGTAGAAAACATTTAAGTGATTTGACATACTATAATGGAATATCATGAATCATACAATACGTAGTTGATACTCATGAACAATAATGAGAAGATTTTATTATTTCAGACACACATTATCATGATTATGTCACGTTTTAATGCACGTACAAGTACATCTTGCCTTTATACATGTAATAAAGTATGTAAAACTGAGCTAATGGCCTGGTAGCAGAATGGGTTCTCCCTTAAAGTCTAAATTTATGTCATACGTCTCAAATCTATAAAAATTATATAACTAGATTCATTTTATTTACTAAAGAACAAATTTGAAGCAATAAACTCTATATGATATTATATTTATTTGAAGCATCATAAATTTACAAATATACTAAAATAGATTATATCAAACAGATTGTATAATTCACTGATATTAGTTCTACGGAAATAAAATGTATATAATGGCATTTTATTTTAAAAGTTTTAACAGGAAAGTGTTATTATCTCCAAGATCATTTTCATAATGTTATTCAGTCTGCATTGTCTACATTGTACAGTTGAAAAATACAGCAGTTTATATGTTTAAGATTTAATGTAATATATTCAATTTGTTAAATGTAATAACCTTAATTATATTAAATTATAAAATCTTCTTTTATTCCTGCTGCTGAAGCCCCTTTGGTAATTAATTATTTCTTTAATTTAACAAATGACCAGTCAAAATACTCTGAAACTTTCTATTAACCTCTGTGTTAACATCAAGTGGCCGTAGTTTGTATACCTCTTATTTACTACTTCCGCTTATCAGTAGAGTGTGGGAAACTCCCCCATTGGTTCAAGAGATCAAAAGATAATAAATAATTATTCAAAGAGTCATAATTGTAATGAAATTAATTGTTGTTAATCAATCAAGCAATACACTATAGTTGGGCCGAAACGTCTCGCGGGAAAGGGCCGAAATGTCCAGGGGCCGATTTTTCGACTGGGGCCGTTTTGGTTTGGGGCCGAAACGTCCTGTTTGCGGACACACTGCCCCTGCAATTCGCTGATGTAAACATCGCATAATTTATATGATACCCGACACGTTTTAAACAGTTTACACCCTGAATTGGTCTTACCATATTTAACAGTAACTACACGCAACGTCACAGCGACTGTAAATTTACATGCATATAAATTAATCTGAGTAAATAACACGAGTATGTGTGGATCTAGTAAAAGTCGGTGGCGTTTTTGATGTTTATGGAATAGCATTCGCACAAATACAGATTAAAATTCATTTAAACAGAATCATTTAAAAACAACAAAAGAATGTACAATTCATCTGTTTTAGCGATCGTATTTTTTATAGTTTTGTGTACTTAGAATCTACGACATTAATATCAAAGACTTTTTTTTTAAATTAATAAGAGCCAACTGACAATTTTTATAAGCGCTAATTATTGCATTGCCTGGGTTCCCATATTTACTCTATTATGTCAAGTATTCTTGTTAACAAAATCAAGTAGAATACAATGATCAAGTGTGTATATGCGAACGACATTAGTGACAGTAAATTGAGGACAAAAATCGAGTTTTCTTTCAAGTTTCCAAAATATTGCAAACGGATTTAATCTGTCACTAACCTGGTTAGATTTATGTATAAATGTCCATTTCACGTAAATCGACCAGAAAAGTGCTGACGCATGTTTGTAATATATAGAACAGAGACAGGATAAGAAGTATTTGCTGGGATAAAATTTTGTCGGATCTTAAATTCATGGATTGACCTACCAACGAAAACCACGAAAATTCGTGCCCCACGAATAATAATGATTTTACAGTATTTGGAAAAGGGGAAGAAAAAACATGTAAATTCAATTTTTGGGGAAAACTGCATGATTTAAAAGAATATTTCTTTGGGGAAGCAGCCCTATAACGGCCCCTGCTATATATATTTAATTTTATGTACATGTCTATTGAAATAAAACAACAACTTCTTAGTGCAAAGAGTTATGTCCATTATTTACTCTTCAAAGAGGATGTACGCAAATGCTAAAGTAGAAATAAATGATGCTTGACATGCAAAGTCCTGATGATCTTGATGTATCCAGAGTCACTTTATAAAAATTTATTAAAATAATGACAGATTTCCCTGTGCCTGCAGACATATTTTGAAGATACCACCACTCTAATCACCTAACCGCAACCCCACAAGAAACAAAGCAAACTAAACAAAAAAAAAACAACAATAAGACACTTCGCCACTTACTCTTTTTTCTAGAGTAGATGTTTCTTTTAAACATTAAATGAAGCTTTCATTCTTAATTTTCTTTATTTTAAGTCCTTTGACAAAGATGATTTTATGGTTGACATCATTATCAAATTGATGTTTAAACCATTTTTATTTAAACATTTACTTGAAATATTTATATGTACATAGTGTAAACAATAGTACACACAACCATAACTTGTCTGTACAGATTAAAAATAGTTTACCCTTCACATATTAATCTTTTCAGGCTATTAGGGTAGCTAACGATGAAAACAATGCAAAGAATGTAGCTAAGAAAGAAAAAGAGAAAGAATTGTCCAAGGTGAAGATAACTAAAGAAGATGTGGATCTTATTGTAAGTCTACTGTATACTATTTTTATGGACTCAGGCATATAGTATTTGAACCATCTGTCTGTACAAGAATAAGCTGAACCAGCAAGTTGGGTTATCTTAACTTCTTCATGTTCCAATGGCTTCATAATCTACACTACTAATCAATACATCTAGTACATATATTGGCAAGTCACATTCAACCTAACTATGGCTTCCATTTTTCCAAGTTATTGCCATTTTCATTGCTTTGAAATGGATGTATGGTTAACCTAAACTGACTGGTTGGACATTTCTTATGTTTTATGATTATATTACTAATGGCTTCGTAATTTCCACACTTATCAATACAAAGTACACTTATTATATTGCCAAGGTATATTAAACTGTGGCATCCAATTCCCCAATTATTTCCCGTTTTATCACTTTGAAAATAGGGCCTTGTATGGTTAACCTATTCTGTAAGTATTTATATTAAATTTCTCCGAATAACTTCATTTATTGAAGTTATTATCTTCCAAATTTTGTAGTTGGATATCTTCAATGGTCCTCTACCTTTTGGTTAAATTAGGGGTCATTTGGGTCAAGGTCACTTGTGCTAAACAGATTTGCCCATAGACTTAATTTACTGACTGATGTCTTTCATACAATGCATTTAGTATAGGAAGATAACTTGCATGGTCTTCTTCCTTTGGTCATGGGGTCAAGGTCAAGGGTGCCAGTAATAGATTTTTACAGATTTGCTTTAACACTCTTAATTGACTAATTTCGTAATTGAGTTAGGAGCCAGTTGGACCAGGGTCAAGGTCACATGTGCTTAAACAGATTTCTACACTTGCCCATACTGACTGTTGTCTTTCATATTTGGTAGAAATATAACTTGCATGGTCTTCTTCCTTTGGATTGAATTAGGGGTCAGTGTGTCAAGGTCAAGGGACCCTGGGTGCCAATAATAGATTTTTGTCAAGTTATATAACTGTGTTTACAAGTTTTTGGGGTAATTTTTCTGTTCATAACTGGGTGAATGAGAATCTGGTTGTTTGTGTTTACCAAACATGTTCTTGTTTTATTTTTGATTTACATTACATTGTGCAAGATGTAAGTAATTTAGCATAACTTCATATAAATAAAGACACAATGGTTTCTTATGTAAGTACAGACCTTTTTCTTTAAGTATGACCATTTTTCTTAGTAAATAATTGTCGAGTGGTTTCAAGCAATCACACCAAAGACCAAGTCAAATGCATTGATTAAATTATATGTTAAAGCCATTGAAGTATACAAGTGACACATGGATTTCAGTTTCATTTGTGCATTTCAGGTACACGAGATGGAGATCCCGCGGACATTGGCAGAAAGAAAATTACGTGAACATAAAGGCAATATAGTGGAAGCTCTTGTAGCATTGACAAACTGAATATAATTGAAATTTGTGAAAGACAATAGTGACAAAACAATCAACATTAAGTGATTGAATGCTTGTGATTTCATTCTATAATTTATAAGAAAAGAGAATGAAATAAAAGAAAGTATCTATTTTTAGAAAAAGTCAAGTAGCAATGTAAAAAAATGACCTTTATCTATCTTAATTATGATTGCAGGTTGTTAGTACATAAAAATTTTGTTATTGTCTCGATGCTGGTGTTAGTCTTGCTTGTACGACCATGAAAGAACCAGATTAGCATGCACATCTGTGCCAATGGATACTCAATGTTTAAGTTTTAAAGTTTCTGTAACATCTATTGCAAGTCTATTTTAAGCTTGACTGTAAAAATAGGGAGAACTATTGTACTTTAGTGTCTCCATCACATTAAGTTTTTGTGTGCAAGTTATTATCTCAAAAAACTATTGCATGTATTGGGGTAAAACTGCATTTTCTAACATGATGCTCACAGGTCCTGTAACTGAGCTACCTTTTTACAGAGTTATGTACCTTTTCTTATTGTCTAATACTGAGGATAGTTGAACACACTGTCTTATTGTTAAATTGGGTTTTAGTTGAGTCTCCATGTTATAAAATGTAATTTGTTATAGACAAAATGAGAAAAGGTAGAACATAAAAACAGTTCTATTTATATTACCCTGGTGTTATATAGTTTCAAAAAGACTATTGTTTATAGGAGTTAGGGTATTAAATGGTATCTTGTTATAATTTTGTATAATGTTCTTTTCCACTTTCTGTTGCCTTTATTAAAATGGAATGGTCAGTTTGTACATAACCATTTTCATTTTGTTGAAAATAGAATTACCATGCACTAAAGATACGCAGTTCCATTAAGAATTGGAAATATTTTGTCACATAAATGAATGGATGCCTCAAAGAGGAAATGAAATTTAAATCTGAAGGCATGTGTATAGTATTGCATAGTCAAAGTGAGCTGAAATTCACAGGTATTGTAAAGTCTAAGACCAGGCCATTTTCTTGAGAGGTTAATTACAAATCACTTGAACAATAAGCGTAACAATATAATGTGATGACACCAGAATAATTTAAATCAATTTCTGTTAAGAAGATACAGAAATATTTTGAACTTTATTCAGGAGACATTGTCATTTGGTTTATTGATGTCATATTTGATATGTCATAAACTCGTAATTCATTTTATACATATAGCATCCTGTATCTGTGGTTTATTTTCCACACTTAAAACATACAAGTCTTTATTTAATAGAGGGAAGTAGCTGAGAATATGTTTACATTTTGATCCAATGTGCATTATAAAAATAGAAAATTGTAGGTTTTGTATGGACATAAACAAAAGTGGCACAGTTCAAAATGTTTAGTTCTACTAAAGTCTTTCTTCAGATTTTCAGCTACAAAATTGTGTTAAAATAAAAAGAAAAAATATATTTATTTGCAATAAAAACTTCTTTTAGCATATTTATCTTTTGTTGGCTTTTAAAACAGCATGTCTTCAAATATTTTATGCATTTATTGACCCAATGAAGATGCATACATGTAAAGTAGCTACATTGTTCTTTGTCTTGTCTACCAAGATGTACATGTCAGCAGCCTGTTCTGGTTAAGTGATTAAGGAGATTTATACAACTGCATCTCCCTCCAATAAATCTGTTATGGACTTTTCAGGTTTTACATGAAACACAAATTGTGTTATTTCAAAAGATTGAGGAAAAGGATCTGGCCTTTCAGTAGATCTGCACATGCAAGTAACAATACATTCATTAAAGAAATATTCCTGTGTATGACTGTGTTAACAGAATAGTTAACAGTATAGTTGTTATCACTATTTCAAAATCACAGAATGTGACAAATACAAAATAAATACAGGGTATGGTATGTCACATGGTATAATTTCATGTTCAGTCTGTAACTTTTTCATCAATTTAGGTTTGTGAGTGATTCCCCAATGGCATTTTATTTGCATGGGCCTGACTTGGCATCATACACAGTAACAGACCATTTTAGGCTTTGACCTGTGTGACCTTAACCTTTGAGATAGGGTTTGGGTGTTGCGCATGACATGTTGTCTTAAATTGTTAACATTAATAGCATGGTATTTTAAAATCCCTTGATTGATGAAAAAGTTATAGACCTGACCAGATACAAAATGTAACCTTGAACAGATGATGTGCAGCTTTGGCCCCCAAGTGTGACTGATGTGGAAGGTAGAGTCCAGGTGTTGTGCATTACACATTGTCTTATTATTGTGAACAATTGTGCAAAGGTATTCCAAAATCCATTGAACAATAAAAAAAATTATGGACTGGACACAAAATATACCCTATGAAAGACCACGTTCAACTTTGACCTTTAACCCATTACTTCATATACACGCCTTTTAACGCCTTTTTCACCCCCCCCCTTTTTGTGGTCTCAAATGGTGAAAAAATGAATTATTTAGGCCCTTAACACTTGTTTTTGTTTGAGAAATGTTGTTAAAAAAAGTGACCACTTTTTCAGCGCGGCCCCCCAACCAAAAGATACACCAGGGGGTTGCCAGAAGGGGGATGTGCCCCCTTCTGTTTGGGGGGTTTGAAGGGGGCGGAGTCCCCCTCATCGCCAAGAAAATTTTGGACTTGTGAGAGGCTATAAATGACCCCAGATTGATCATAAGGTAACGTGTAACCAACGCTGAAAAGCATTTGACTCTATCTCAATCCATTGAGAAGTTGCAGCACTTTGAAATCAATTATGATGGAAAAAATCAACGCAAAATAGTGATTTTTGGCAATTTTGAGATGTTCCCTCGTTGCCATGGTAACAGAAAATTTAAACCTGAGCATATTGTTGCAAGGGCAATGGTCCAGTCAACATTTGTGCCAAGTTTGATTAGTGTTGAAGCAGTTTTTATAGTATTATAGCAATTTGAACTTGTAACGGGAGACTTTTCAATGAAAACAGCCATTTTTCACAAAATGCTCATGAAGTAATGGGTTAAGCATCATCTTGGGTCCAGTTGTTGTGCATGGCACATTGTCTTATCATTGCCAAGTAATTTCAGAACCCCTTGATCTATGAAAAAGTTATAGACTGGACACAAAATATACCCTATAACAGACCATGTTAAGCTTTGACCTCAAAGCGTGACCTTTACCTTGGAGGAAGTGGTCAACATGTGATTAATACTCCCGCAAGACTGCTTCGAAAATGAGGAAATTACTAGTAACAGAATACCTTGTAAAAGAATTGAAATAGAGAAATGGTTGTTGGCAATTAAAGATAGTTGTGGTTCTTGTACGTTGCATTTCCTTTCACAGTGGTGACCTTTGATGAAGTTTTATTGAATTACTCTGTAATAAGTCCAGATAAAGTTATGGTTCTTGAGCATTGCGGTCATTGTGCTTGACCATTGTATGAAGTTGCATTGAATTCCAAACATTAGTTGTTTAGTTATGCACCAGACAAGGAAAAGGAACAAAGGGCAATAACTCTGCAAATACATGTACTGAAGATGGAGTTATGGTCATTGTACACTGCACTTCCTCTCATTGTGTTTTACCATTGTATGAAGTTGTATTGAATTCCAACTACTAGTTTTCAAGTTATGCACTGGACAAAAAAAGTAACAAAGGGCAATAACTATATAATTAGTCCAAATAGACTTATGGTTCTTGAGCACTTCACTTCACTGCGCTTGACCATTGTATGAAGTTGCATTGAATTCCAACCATAAATTTTCAAGTTATACACTGGTCAATATAAAATAAAGAACAAAATCTCTCAAATGAGTCAAGAAAGAGTTATGGTTCCTGTGCTTCCTCTCTATATACTTGACTATTGTACAAACTTGTATTGAATTCAAACCAGTAAATTTCATGTTATGCTCTGCAACAAGGAAAAGTAACAAAGGGCAATCACTCTATGATAACTCTAGAAAGAGTTTTGGTTCTTGTGCACTGCATTTTCTCTTATTGTGCTTGACCATTGTATGAAGTTGCATTGAATTCCAACCATTAGTTTTCAAGTTATCCACTGGACATTAAAAAGTAATGAAGGGCAATAACTCTGTGATTAGTCAAGATGAAGTTATGTTCTTCTGTACTGCACTTTCTTTCAACGTGCTTGACCATTGTATGAAGTTAAATTGAATTCAAACTAGTGGTTTTCAAGTAATGCTCCAGACAAGGAAAATGCAACAGAAAAGTAACAAAGGACAATAACTCTGTTATTACTTTAGATAGAGTAATGGTTCTTGTGCACTGCACTTCCTCTTATTGTGCTGGACCATGGTATGAAGTTGTATTGAATTCCAACCATTAGTCTCTAAGTAATGCTCCAGTCAAGGAAAAAGCAACAGATGGCTGGACCGATCGACTGACCACCGGGTGACTCCTATATACTCCCACAAACTTCATTTCGGGGGTATATAAATTATTCATGTACTATCCTTATCATAACGGTTATATTCAAACTTTGCTTGTTGATAGTAACTTTTATTCCAAAGGTAGCGTACGATATGGCTGACTTATGAATGAGACAGAGATGAATAGCATTATAGGATAGGGGTGCTTGAGGCAGTTCCAAACTGCATGTGGCAAGTGTCCTTATGTTATATGTCAAAAGAACACAAATGACTTAACTGACATAATGAATTACCGTATAAGTGGTTTTTTCTGCGGTGACTTTATTTCTGCGTTTTCTGCGGTCAGTTTAGGGACCGCAGAAATAAAAACCGCAGAATATTTCTCTTACCTGCTAGGATATGTATCCTACATTGTGACCTGTTTTAAGTATTAACGACAAACAGATTATAATGGTTAGCGGGTTTTTAAGTTGTTTAAAATTGCTGTCGGCTAAGTATGTAATGTGTGTTTGTAAGGATGTACTTATTGTTAATTATGCTAATTTAAAAATAAAGATATTTCAAACCATTCCAACCCTTATACTGCTAAATAATTGTTGTTTACTTTAATTGTCATCTGATACGATACGGTAAACTTCTATCATAAAGATCATACTACCGGGGTATATTTTTCACAGGTTACTTCACGCTGATCAAAGATGTATAGCTTTCTATTGTTGCGCATTATATTTGTTTGCAAGCGCACAAAATAATTGTTTGTAATTACTATACAGTTTTGCGGTGACGAGGATAAACAAATGCGAACGTGTACATGCAAATATAATAGATAGGGTAATGTGACTTAGACTTTGATTAGACGATTGCATAATATTGAATTCATGTTTTGTCCAAAGAATGTGCCGCAGAAATAAAGTCCGCAGAAATAAAAACATGCCAAAATTTGGAAAAACCGCAGAATTTGGAGCCCGCAGAAAAAAACACTTATACGGTATTCTGATTGACCTTTATTGAAATTTGCTTACATCGTCATTACTTGGTTAATCATTTACAGATTTGATAAATCCTTGGACAAAAGAATGCATGAAAAAACAAACATGTTGAATTATCATTACATGTACATGACCTTGACCTTAAATTGACCTTTACCATCAAGGTCAAATTATTGAAATTTACTTAAGTTGTCATAACTTTATTTATTTATAAACTTGGTTCATTCTTGGAAAAGAGAACACTTATAACAATACTGACAATGATTAATTCAAATGTGACCTTGACCTTTGAATGACTTGCTGATTAAGGTCAAATTTGAAATTAGAATTATGATTTGTTCAAGATCCTTATGTTTTCTACGAGTATTCTTATTGCAATGTTCTTTCTTCAATGTTTTTGTCATTAGAAGTAAGAAAATGCCAAGCGTGGTCCTCGCTTCGCATGGCTCCATGTTGTGGACATAAGTATAACAACTTCTTAGATTTAGTGGTGTTAGAAGACCTTGGGTGCCTCTTTGCGCATTATTTTAGGCACAAGTTAGCTGGATAGCTTCTAAAGGTTGCAAATAGAATTCAAATGTGGTTTGAAATCAGTGACCTTAGCTTCTAAGCCACAGAAGTCCCTGTCATGGATTAAAATAACAGAGACCCTTTTTACATTTCATGATTTTTTTTCATGTTTCACTACATGAGGTTGACCATAGCTTTACACTGAAATTTGACATAAAGTTCATTCCTAATAACATAAGACAATTTATAAAGCAAGAGCTGCCAGGACAGCATGCTCGACTACTCTTAGTTTTTGATTGTAACCAAGATCCTGGAGAATGTAGGCATTCACAAAGAGGAATATTTCATTCAAACTACATTCATGTAGTAACAAAAGCAATGCATATCTAAATCTTTATTACAAACTATTCCAATTTAATATTCCAGAACCAAATGTAAAGCAACAACATTATAAGAAAGTGAGATTACTAAAAAGCATGTAATATTTATATTTCATCAACATTTTCAGATGTCTGACAGAAGCAGGAAATAATATCATATGCTGACAATGAATTATCAATACCAAAACTATACATAAACAAGAGAAAAAAACTTTACAACTGAGTTTCACTACCACTCTCTTCATTGTTTGATACAGATTTCTCTTCTTCTTGAATCTTTTCAGCATAATCTATTAGAGACTGAATCAGTTTCAATCTGTCTCCAGAATAGTTAATCTTTTTCTCTATCGTCTTCAATGTGCCATCTTCTTTCTCTTTTTGAGGCACAGCTACATTATAAGTATATAAAATTTTCTTTTCAGATGGACCTGCAACTGCTTCACTGGTCTGGTTCAAACTTGGAAAACCTTCTTCTATTTTTATGACTGTTCCCTCCCTATTTTCATCATCATCATCTGTATCTTGTACAACTGTTTTCTCTCTCAGTCCATCTTCTTCTAATTCATATGAGGGAGACTGTTCCTCGAATTCAGAAATCTGCACAATTTGATCCTGTATGAATTCTGATTCTTGTAGATCACTCTGGGCAACTGCATCGGCCTCTTCCATAGCTACAATTTTTCTGTCATCAAACACAATATATACAATTTGCTGATCATTTGGCAATTCGTTTTTAACAGAAGATTGTAACATATTTTCATTGACAAGATTTTCAATACTTTCACCAGAATATTCAAGATTTTCTTCCATGTCAACATCCTCTTCATTATTATCATTGACAGTATTAATGTCTGTCTCAGTTTCAGAACCTGTATTAATCAGGTCTTTAGATATTTTGAATTCTTTGTCTACAGCTTCTGTCTTCAGAAGAGTATCAGTCTCTGTTGATTTATTTACCAAGTCTTTATTGACAACAGATGTACTATTTTTCTTTAATAAACATAAATGACGCAAATGTGACTTTTCATCAATAAATGTTTTCTTGCAAATCTCACAGTTTCTAATTTCATAGTGATTCTTACTAGAATGTTGAATTAACTCTTCCTCATTGGGGAACATTGTTTGACAGTCTAAACATTCATATACATGTTTCTCTTTGTCAACTCTTACATGCTTTTTCATGTGACGACTCAAAGTCCTTCTGTATCGGAAGGAACATGTACAAATTTTACACTGGAAAGGTAAGGCATTAGTATGTATAACCATATGATCTATAACATGTTGCTTCTGACTGAATTTCCGCCCACACTTATAACATTCAAACTGGCGCACCCCCTCATGAAGGAGCATATGCCTGCCAATATTTTCCTTGTTTTTAATAAATTTTCCACATATCTCGCACTTTTTTCCATCTGGCTCATTCCCGTGCACTGATCGCACATGCCTTTTCAGAGCAAACAAGAATGAAAATGATTTGGGACACTCGACACATTGATGTTTCGTTCTTTTGCCGAGATCATGTGTATATAAATGACGCTCAAGTCCTTCTTTACGTTTAAACCTCTTTTCACAAACATGACACTGGTAATTCTTCATCTGCCAATGTGTGCCAATGTGTTTTTCTAAAAGCTTGTGTGACGTAAATTGCTCATCACAAAATTGACAGGACCGTGTGTCGCTTGCATTTTCATTGTGCATTTGTAAATGTTTCTCAAGATTTTCTTTATTCGCAAATACCTTATAGCAATACTTGCACTTCTTCTGTGATTGCCCCATGTGAATTACTTGATGGCGTTCTAATGACCTATGTGATAGAAAAGACTTTGAACATAAAGTGCATGGGAATGGTTTCTGTGGCTCACTAGTTGTTTTATGTTTCTCTAAATGACATCGCAATAAGTTACCATCAGTAAAAGACATGTCACATATTTGACATCTGAAAGGTTTTTTCACAGAGCCCCATTTAAACATAATAACTGGTGTTTTTTTCTCAGCAGTTGGATTCTCTATTGACGCCTGTTTGTTAACACTCATATTTGACTGACTGCCTGAAGTCTCTGCTTCACCAATACTTTCTGTAAAAATACTCTCCAAATTAAAACTGTTTTCATTTGATGTACCATAAGCATTATAATGTTTCACAATTTTCACAACTGGTTGAACCAGTGTTTTCTGAAGTGATATACTAATCAGAAATGGCCTCGGTGGGGAGTTATTACCTTTTCAAAATCAAAACTGTTCCCCTGCACTAAAATTTGATACTTGGCCCCTAAATAATAAATTTTCCCCATATCTGCTTCAAAAAATTTCCCTCTGGGCAATGTTATTTGTCACAGAAACTTTTTGAAAATCACCAAAAATAGTTTTTCACCTAAATAAATAAAAACATTTTTAAAGAAACAGAAATTTTAAATGTTTAGTAAAATGAAAAATTATGTAAAAAAGAAATTTTTTAAAATCTTTTTTGCCCATAAAGATTGGGCAAAAAAATTTTAAAACCCGAAAGCTTATATCAGGGAAACTTGCCTGCCCAATATAACCTGGGGACCAAACATTCCACAAAATTTTGTACGGGACTGAATTTTGATAAAATTAGCACCTACTAAAAAAAAACCAAAAAATTAACCAGTAGGAGGGGTGAACACAATCTGATTTGAAAAAAAATTAAACTGAAATCATGCTTGTGGGGGATTATTTTTCCGGGGAACATTAACGGGGGAATCCCCCAAATTCGGGGATTCAACCTCCAAGTGACAAAGAATAAAAATAATAAAATTTTTTTTAAATTTCCCCCCCCCCCCTCCCCCAAAAAATTTTGGAGAGAACTTTCATTTGGGCCCATGGAAAGTTTTTAAGTTTTTTTTTTTAAAAGGGGGGAAAAAAGGTTTTTACAAATACTTTTCTAAACTTTTCCCCCGAGATTAAATATAAAATGAACATTGTCACTGACCCCCTTCCCAAACGGGCCCTTTTGGGTTTGGGGGGGGATTGCTTTCCATTGAACGCCGCTTTTCCTTTTACCCTTTTTAATCTTTTTTTTTGGAAAACATAAAGGTCAAATTTATTATTTTTGGGAATTTTGGAAATTTAATTTTCTGGAACCATGCCCTTTAATTTGTGCTTCTAGGTTGAAATGGGGTTGAAATTGCAGGTCATAAATTGACGATATATTTGGATTTTGGAAACAGAAAAACAAAAAAAACTTTCAAATATGTGATAAAAAATTTGGGGATCATGGGGGGGTTGGGGGGGGGGCCAATATTTGTTTTAAAGAAAAAAAAATGAAGAAACCAAACTAACAGAGAGTTTGAAAATTTTGTTTTTTTTGGTCAACAGACTTTTAAAAAAAAAGCCCCGGCAAAGGAAAGAATATGCCAAAAGGTTTTTTTTTTGGGGTAAAGAAAAAGCTTTTGTAAGACATGGGAATCCCCTGTTCACCCCATAAAATTCCCGCTGGGGTTGTTTAATACTTAATTATTAAAAGCCCAAAAACCCTTTTGATTTTGGCCCCCAAATCAATAAGATTTTCACCTTATATGGAAAACATTCAAAGGAATTTTGAATATTTTTGGGCCAAATTTGGGAAAACTTTAATTGATGCTCTAGCTTTTTTCAGTATTAAGGTAAAAAGTGCCCTTTGACCTTTGACCTTGGCCCCCAAAATAATGGGGGGTTTCAAACCCAAATGGACAATAAATCCTATGGTTTAAAATATTTTGGGGCCAAAAGGGAATTTACATTTGCTCCAAAACTTTTTTGGTTTTTAAGGTAATTGTAAATTTTGACCCTTTAACCCAGGCCCCCAAAAATAAAAAGGGCCCTTTCCCAAAATTGGGGACAACATCCCTTAATTTTTGAATATTGGGGGCCCAAAATGGAAACTTAAGTTACTCCAAAAATTTTTTCCAGTTTTAAAGGTCATAGTGCCCCTTGGCCCTTTTAAACCTCAAAACAAATGGGGGGTTTTCTAGGCACAGGGACATTCATCCTTAAGTTTAAGTTTTCGGGCCCAATTGGAACTTAAGTTTTTTCCGGGAAACTGATTTCCAGTATGAAGGGGTAATAGTGACCTTGACCTTTGACCTTGTGACCCCAAATGCAATAAGGGGCTCTAAGCCCAATATGTACAATGCACCTATGAAGTTTGAAATAATGGGTCGAATGGAATTTAAGGTTATGCTCCGGAAACTGTTTTCAGTTTTAAAGTTCATAGTGACCTTGACCCATGATCTTTGCCCCAAAATCAAATAGGGGGTCTTCTACCCAACTGGACAATCATCCTATAATTTAACATTGGTGGGCCCCAAATGGGAAACTTAAGTTAAACTCCGGAAACCAAAATTCTAAACGGATTGGAAGGACAGTACGGACGGACGTAGCAACTTTTGATAATTTTAAGAGGTAATGCAAGCTCATAAATCTACACCTGACCCAAAAGTCCAATAAGGCAAAATCAGCATCAATCAAAAAAAATAAAATAGCTCTTAATTTGAATTTTATGAGCTTTTGTTCTTTATCTAACTACGGAATGAAGCTCATAAATATCAAATGTTTGCTCAGACAGACAGACGGACGCCAGGGGGTATAACATAATATGCCCTTTCGGGCATATAAAAAAAGAGAGTTTAAAGTTCAAGTTAGCCAAGAAAACTGGAAAATAGTGACTTCTCTTGTTAGGCAAAATAGAGAGGTATATTCATTAACAGAAATAAATAGATTTTAGCTTTTATCGATATTTGAAAGTGTGTATCAAAATTGTATCGGATGTTGAATATCGATGATATATCAGTATTGCGATATTCAATGACAGCCCTAAGGAGTATGAGGTCGATTGGACTTTTTTGATATGATGTCATCGACTAACATCAGGAGTTGGGTTTGACAGGATGTCTTTTCACTCAAACTTTTCATTCATAGAACATTTTGTTGGTTGTAAAGTGTTTGGTTATGTTTGAGAGTACTATGTGTTACAGGGTTTTTTATGTTTACAGCACAGCCCACTTGTCACATAATCAAATATTTTACATAATCAAGTCTTTTTTATGTATATTAAGATAATATGAAATTAGGCAAAAGCCTATGAACGGGGAAAGTCGGTAAAAATCCTTCTCATTTTTTCAGTTTTAAAGGTGTCATTCGTATTATATTATACCCGTTTCTGTTTTCACTCAGAAACACTCGATAAGATTATATTAATTCGAAAAAGTTGAGATTTGTTCCGTTATCGGAATACACCGCCTTTATCAAATTTGAGTTACATTGTTAAATGGCGGCGCCTAACTAGAAACTGGACACTGAAAAATTTCATTGATAGGTATAGAATTCTATATATTTTTTAATTGTTTCTTTATTTGATTTTCTTTTAAATATACACGTGTAGTCTATAGCCGGGCAAGCCAAAGCCTGGCTTTGACTTCCCCGTATTATTATCGTATATAGCCAATATAAAACTTTAAAAAGCTTGTTTCAAGCACCTGTGGTTTACAAATTCCAGTGAGTATGTCTATTTTATATCAGTTTATAAATAGACGCTTAACATAGGACAATTTTAGGAATTTTAACATTACATTACACGTGTGTAACATAAAAAAAAAACGTAATAATCAGATTACATAGAAACAAAGGATGTCACAAAAAATACTTAGGATTGGCTGATTAAGATTGCCATTGGGTCGAATTGTTTTGAGTACATAATGATCCTGATGGAAAAGAGTCAACTAGGCCCTATACCGACTCGGCACGGGTCAACCCGGCACGGGTCAACTCGGCCCACTTTACGAAAATATATAGGCCTATAACGTATTTACTTTGCTTTGCATGTTGTTAGGGTAAATGAATTTTAAGAAATATCTTATTATTATTATATAATTATACATTGTACCTCTGCTGAAATAAAGTTATTTATTTGTCTTACAGATTGGATAAAATTAATATAGACACAGGCACGATTATCTAACCTGGGAATAAAAAATATGAACAGATTGATAAAATAACTTGATATTTTTTCTTCCCAGGTCCGATACTTGTGCCTGTGAATATAGATATAATAAAAATGTGTTGCCTTAGATGCATTTTGTTTGTAAAGTAATTTTCAAAAAAATATGAAACAAAAACGTGTTTACTTAATAGCATAAGCTTAATTCTAATTAATTGCAGGTGGTCACTAATCAAATTTGAATGAATGAGTCAATCATAATTATCACCTAATTAATCCGTATCTTTAACATACACATTGATTGATAATAATAGCCCGTGACAATAGGAGTCCTTTGATGTCCTTTAACCATTTTTAAAAGTGGGCCGAGTTGACCCGTGCCGAGTTGGAATAAGGCCGAGCTGACTCGGGGGCCGAGTATGTTTTAGGGCCGAGCTGACCCGGATTCATCCTGATGAGAGAAGTTAGTATTCTTTAGAATGAAATGCCCGGAGAAAAGCCGATAGAAGAAAATTGTCTCCATTTGATCAGCTGATCTTTTTATGTATATTAAAACTTGGCGAATAACTTTCTTGCTCAATACAAGCATATTTACCTTTCGTAAACAGTCCGAGATCGTGAGAAAAACTGTCACACCCGTTATCTTGGACAGCTTTCTTCTAGCTCATCCGCTTACTGTTTTGACAACAAAATGTTTCTGTAGGATATCTTTTTTCAATAAGTATACATTTCCTTCAATCAGAATTAAATGTACGGTTTCAGGAGAGAGTATACGGATGAATTCTTCTCCGAAGCATGCAACGCAATTTTCAACGAAGGAAACAAAGGTTGTTCGAGGTCACCGGAACAAATGGAGACATTTTATCAAAGGGAAGCAACTTCTATAATTACGTTGTTTTTTCACAACGCACTTCGTCCCCCATAATCTATCGTCCGTTTATACAGAAGAGACGTAGACATATCTGCGTGTCAAAAATCGCTAGAAAGTTAAAAAGAAATGTTTAAAAGAGGATAAAAAAATTAAACAGGGGCTGGAAAACTGGAGTGAGACATGTTCGATGCAAGCTATGGCTGCACTGAACTAAGTCTGGGGAAGGGAGTAATTAAGCAAAGTTCTGCAAGGCGCAGATGGTTCCAGTGGTATACCGTCCTAGGAAAGAATGAGAATTTATGATAGTCTGAACTTGCTGTGAATAACCTATAAAATAAGGGATTGCCATGGCGTGATGTT